CGGCGGAATTTTGGCAAACCGTGTTCCGTACTCTCGGAACACGATTGAAGATGTCCACTTCTGACCATCCAGAAACAGATGGTCAGACGGAACGTGCGAACCGTGTCCTCGAAGAGATTCTTCGAGGATATGTCCACTCGTTTCCGAGTTGGAGCGAATTCCTACCCATGGTGGAATTCGCCATCAATAATTCGGTGCATGCTTCAACACAGCACACACCGTTTTACGTGAATGGCCTACGCCATCCACGTGTGCCCACCCTTCTAGAGTGTGACTCTTGGAAAAGGGGGGAGGGACTCGCTCGAGCAAAAACCGTTTTGGCTCTTGCTCATCACGTGTCGACGCAAACGTCGTCACGTATGATGCCGATGTCGATCAAGTCGACATCGATGAAGAAGATCATCTCAATAATAGCGAAGACGCTATTATTGATTCGGATGATGATGACGATGCTGGTTTATTCAGCATCGCCAACGATTATGTCAGCGAGGAAGAAGACAACCTCGCTGAAGAAGAGAGCAATCTCTTAGCAGTGCGCACGAAGCGCACTGCCAGACAAAACAAAGAGTCAGCAGAGAACTTCCTGCTGACTCGAGAGGCGGTAGTCCGTTTCGTTCAGGACTCCTTCGCAAATGCGGTGGACCGTCAGAAACGGAACGCAGACAAGAATGGAAGAGCAAATGTTCTTTCATTTATGGTTAATGACCTAGTACTACTGTCTACAGTAAACTTACCTGGACATGCAACCACTAGTGTCGGCAGTAGTAAACTACTGCCGAAGTACATTGGGCCATTTCGAGTGTTGCATCGCAAGGGCAATGCATACACACTCGAATTGCCACGTAGGATGCGCACGCATCCTACGTTTTACGTGGGGAGGCTTAGGTCGTACTGACAGTACGAGCCTTCTTCTTCCGATGAAGATAGCCCCCACGTTCAAGAACATCCGTCAAGTTCTTGCGTTCGCGCTCCAGACAATCCGTCTGGTCGCGCAGATATGATACCTCGGTATTCAACCGAGATATCTCCCCGCGAGCTGTCGCCAGCTCGCCGAAAAGGGAGCGGACATCCCGCTCGACCTGAAGCTGCGCCGTGGCATAATCGGCGCGATCCCTCGCCCGATCAGCCTCGTGACCCTTGCGGTTCTTCCGCACGGTGTCGGTCAAAGCGTAGCGTCGGTCGCGCTCGTGCTTCAAGTCATCGCGCAATTCATCGATTGCGCGATCCATCTCGTAAGGGTCAAGATGGTGGGCCTGGGGTTCTGGAGGAGGTCTTTCCTCCTCCACCACATCCTTTGGTGGATGCTCACGGTGATCAACGCTTTCTAGTGGAGCGTATCTTAAATTACCGTGACGATTCAGGATCAAGGACGAGCTACCTCGTCCAGTGGCGGGGGTATCCACCCTCTTGGAACAGCTGGGAGCCCCGCTCTCAGCTGTTGATGGATGTTGAAGGTCTCGTCCGCCAGTATGACGAAACCCATCCGATGAGCCCTGTGGCCCATCGGTAAACACGCGCCCTAGGCGCTTGTAGACGGATTGCAAGTTTGCAATCGCGTCACGCATCTCAGCCGAGACGTGTGCCCTTCCCCAGGGCGAATTTAGGGAGTACACATCCCTATGTGCACGCTGCGAGTTGTCAACACAACTCGCGCAAGGGTCTCCCCATGTGAGGCAAGGAATGCCTGCCTCACTAGATAAACAATGCAACCGGTACCTAGCACCGGTTGGCGTTCGCCGTTCGAACCTGAGGCGTGTTGCCTCAAGTTTCTTGAGCCACCCTTCTCGTCCAAAATTCTTGACGTTTTGGACGAACGCGTTCCACGCAGCAAAAAGCGATGTTTTGTCACGCTTTTGGTTGCTGTTGTACCATCGATGTCTAAGGAAGACATCGAGATAAAAGTCTTCTTCAGCGCGAAAGTTCTTCGCGCTGGAACTCAAGCCGTGAAGCTCGGTTGCATCGAATAAGGGTATTCGATGGTGTTGGCCTGTCTCGTGAGACAGGCTATTGATGAGTTGTTCGGGCAAACTCCACGGCTTCAACTCATCACGCTTCACAGTGGTACCCTTGTCGGTACCACGGCTCCCAGATTGACGACGGCTCGCGCCATCGTCATCACGCTCGTGCGAAGACGCACGAGCCGGCGGTGGTGAAGAATAGAACTCACCACCCTGATCATCGTCATCACTGCCGAACAGACTGTGATGCGAATCACGAGTCCGTTCGTTCGGCAGTGGCCTTGGCGAATACTGAGGCGTCGCCGGTGAGCGAGACGCCTCTGGAGCATTGCCCGAGTCAGACACGTCTGACTCGCCAGAGTAGATGACCTCCACATCGGGGTCATCGTGCGCACGCGGCGTGATACCGCGTGCACCTGCAGCACCTGTTGCTGCAGGCGAAGAAGGGGCGGCAGACGCTTCGTCGTCTGCCGCAGAGGCTTGCACAGCACCAGGCTGTGTGGGTCTTGAGTCACCTCGCATAGACATGTTAACTATGCGAGGTCAAGCGGAAAGTGAGTGGAACGGACCAAATAAGTGCTCCCTGTCCCAATGGTGGCCAACGGGTGGCCTCCATATTTCGATAGTCACACGGTGACTATCAGTTAAGGGGGGGTGATGTAACGGGGCAGCCCGTTACATGAAATTGTCACTTTAAGGAAAGTGACAATAAAGAATATAAAGATGGATATTCTTTAAACAATATCACCAAAGTGGTGATATTGAAGGGTCGACCAAAGGGTCTGTTCATTGGTTGATATCGTGATGATATCAACCCACCAATCGCCGCAAGACGCGCGCAATGAGTGGTGATGAGACGTCACCATACATGCAGTTATATTAGTATAATTGAATTAAGTCAAACGAAGAGACAGTAGTTTAAAGACTTAATTTATTAATATAACAGTTCTACTTTTACCCTACCTACGCTTCCTCGCTCGCCACGTGTACGTCCGTCGGGGCACCCAAATCCCTTGCGTTCAGTTACGCAAGGGTGTGCCCCGTTACATTCAATGTCATTGTCATGTAACAGTATCATTCCGCTAGACAAGTTCCCGTCAGGCGCCAGCAAAGGAGGAGTTTCGCCGCAGCAGGTTGTCTGCGACGTGGAGATGAGTCTCGTGCTGACTTCAGCTCGCCAAGAACGACCTTAAAGGTCTGAGCAAGACGATGCAAAAAGAAGAGGAAAGATGTTCCAGCAAAAGTCTTCGAAATGTCCTTCGAGTCGTGATAGATAGACGGTGGAGGATAGTGCCGCTGATCCCAATTAAGTGTGGTTGCGACACCACACGTAAATGGGATCGGCGGCACTATCAAAGATAAGCGAATGAAGGCAGGAAACGAATGATCCGCAACGAAATCTTGCGATCAACGAAAGGACGCGGCTTTGACTCAAAATCAATTCAAACGATAGCTAAGCTCACGTCGCTCGTAGATCTCGATCGAATAGGAAGTACGAAGGATGAACGTCTGATACAGCAGTGTGGGGAGTACAGGAAATACCATGTGATGTGATTTTGGGTGCTACAGCACGCATCACGGAGCAGCATACAAAAAGTGAAAGGCTTGATGCTAACGTCAGTGAGATATTTGCCAAGTGACGAGAGTGTCAGCGTATCGATGTGTGGTGCCTCTGTGGCGGCACTTGCCTTTCGAGTGGAGAAAGCTAGTATGCCTTGCCGGTGAGTTAAGTGCGCCACTGGACAAATGGGCTTCTTTTCGAGTAGCATGGTGTGGATTGCGACATTTCGAAACCAGAGACTATTGAGATGATAGGATGGCTACGCAAGCGTTTGATATGGGCAATCTTTAGCTAATCCACATGTGCTACTTTCCGAGATTCGTCGCTCGATCGTGTATGTTCTGTCGACATTGACGGCCTTATGCTCTGGTCCTTGCGAGACGAGGAAGCGAATCGTGCGTACTGTGATTGCAAGTACGCGTCTAGGAAATAGGTGCGGCTTACAACACGCACGATCCCCTCCCACACAAAATGCGGCATAACTCTGATCGGCTTTGCCGGTCAAGTCCCTTCCGTCAACGAGCCCAACGGCGCCAATTTACCAGCCGACATAGACGCAAAGATCGCAGTTGCGCATCAGCTATGTCGTGTGCTCCAAGCAAGTTTGGGCTGCGTCATCGCTATGCCTGTGTCGACGTGAAGCGATGCAACATGCAGTTACGGTCGAGACTCCAATGCAGTGGCTGTACAGGTGTCTAAGTGTTAGCGTGTACGGACATTGTCTTGCGTGCAATAGTCCATCCCGACTGCAAGCGCTTGCATGGTCTATGCTCGAAGGCCACAAAACGCAAAGCAGATACCTCCGCGCAACTGCAAAATGGAAGTTCGATGTGGCACCTCACCAGAGGTAATCGGCGGAATGTAGCGACATAAGGAGGTGCTGCTTCGACGAGGGTCGCGACACCCGCTGAAGGGCTGTGCCGAAGAAGCTGATTGAGGATGAGGAAGTTGGTTGTTGTGCGTGGAAAGAGCTGAGCAATGAGACGGTAAAGTTTCCCACCGTAAACGGCAGAAACATGCAAATTGGATGGCCGCATCACGAATGGCTGGCTCATTGGTTGGCCGATACGATGTAGACAGGTATCTATCGACCCGCGGTCAGCCCTTCGTTTGCCGTCTACTGCAGCTGCATGCACACCACTGTATCTACGCGCGAGCTGAATACAGACCCATAATGTACTGCCACCGACAGCCTGTAAAGTGCCGAAACGGTCGTACAGACCACTTCAGGATTGTTCACGGCCGATTAGGGTCTCACGCAAGCAAGAAAGGTCTGGAGTCCATACAATGTGTGAGTCGGACGAAGCTGACTGTGCTATTTGGTTCATGCATTCAGTTCGACCGTGCACTACAGCTCCCAGTTCCTCCATTATCGCTACGAACGAAATCAAACTACGAACCAAATCGAATCAACGAGCGTACGTCCACCACTCCTGTCGGTCTCCCCATAAACGGCACGTGGTTGCCAACACAGCTCTGCCCTATTGCTGGCCGTGCGCCGCGTTCCACTCCACAACCTTCGGGTGCTTCCTCACCTGGTCGTACACGCGGTACACGCTCGGGTACGAGTCTTCCATGGTGCTCATGAGTTTCGGCAAGTTCGTTGTAAAGTCCACCAGCACAGCGTAGATGGCCAGGTCTGCCACGCTGAGGGCCTGACCCGCCGCGTAAGGCCCTTCGTTCTTTGCAATGCGCTTTTCCAAGAACCCTATCGTCTTGGGCACGACCTTGGCTAGTTCTGCGCGCAAAACATCCTTCTTCTCCATGTTCTTCTCACGGTGCGAGGCGCCCCACAGAGGTTTGTTGAACATGTCGTCCATGATCGAGAGCAGCTCGTCGATACGGTAAGCAGCAAGCGGATCCGTCATGGGGTACAGTCCCGACATGGTGCCAGCGTACCGAAGGATCGCCAGCGCCTGCGAGATCATCTCCCCGTTTACTTCTAGCACTGGAAACTGGCCGAACGGCAGTGTCGACCTGCGCGTCACCATCTCCTCGTGCGGAATGCGCTCGTCTTCGAACGCAATGTCGCCAATGAAAAAGGCAAGACGGATGGGCTCGCCACGTCCGAGGTTGGGAAAGTATGTGAGCTTCAGCTTCGGCGCGTTGTGCTCGAGTCGGTACCACTCTTGGACTTGTGGGTGACTCGCGACCTTGTCGTGCATCGCGTTCAGTAGCTTGTAGTCATTCAGTACCGTCGTGGGGATGAAGTCGAGGAAGCCCGAACGGAGCGACTTGACCCACACGTAGATGGCCACTTCGTGCACGTAGACGCGGTCCGACTGGAAAAACGGCGTCTGCTTCATTTTCGCGAGACGAGCCTCCAAGAGTCCAGCGTAGCGAGGCAGCGTGGCGGTCGTCAGTTCCTCCCGCATGGCTTTTTTCTTGGCCACGTCGGACTCGTGGAGCGATGGAACCAGCCTCACTTCAATCTCGCCCATCACGCTCAGCACCTCATCGATCTTTATCGCCAGCTCGGGCCTCGTGGTGGGATACAGTCCACCCAAGCGGCCAGCGTACCGCATGATGGCGTACGATTGCGTCATCACGTCGCCATTGACCTCGAGCGTGGGCACTTGGCCCAACGGGAACGAGTCCTTCGTGGCCATGAACTGCGCAGGCGTAAGGCGCTTGTCTTCAAAGGGGACGCCGCCAATGTAGAAGACCAGGCGCGCGGCCTCTGCACGGCCAGCAGCAGTAAAGTCCGTGAGTTTGAGAGAGGGGAACGTGCTCATGGGGAAGATCGATGTTGAAGCAAATTGGAAACTGAAGATACGAGAGTGTCCGCTAACGACTCATTACACCAAGACGCCGTTATCTTTGACCTGCATGACGTCACCGGGTAGTCTGAGTGCGAAAGGTCGTGGAAGCCATCACGTTGGACCTGCAAAGAAGATCGAGACCGTTCGATCGATCGAAGATCTTTTCGCTCCATATGGAACATGTCGCGGATGTAGCACAACGTTTTATTTATCGGAGACAAAGCGAGCGAAACCCGCGAAAGCCGATTGTTGAAGTGCGGACAAAGCCCAACACGCCCATAACGAGGCAACTGATTCCGATGAAACCCGCCACGAAAAAAACCACGAGCGCCGATTTGCGGGATTTCTTGACCAGATACGACATCCCCAGCTGTCCCACGAGGCCGGCGGCAAACCCGACGACGCCATGCCATAGCGCGTGTTCCACGGACAACGTGCCTAGAATGATAAACTGGATCGTGGTGGCAGACGATGTAAACAAGATCATCGACGACGACGTGGCCGATGACACTTGTGGCAGCAGTCCCATTTCAAGCAGCAGTGGACCTTTCACCATACCCCCTCCAATGCCGAGTAGACCGGCGGCTATGCCAGCGGCAGTGCACAGCGCAGGGTACTTGATCACTGCTTGTTTCGTCCAGACCATGTCGCCCTTGGCATACGTGTAGTCAGAAGCCTGCAGCATCGTGTGAAATCGGCTGATCTTTATACCAAAGTAGATCGTCACGCTGACGAAGAACGGGAACGAAGCGAGCGTGAGCAGCCAGTAGCCGGCACTGCCACAAGACAGCCCGATCATGCTCGGCATATCGTGGCCACCTTTTGCCAATGAAAACAGCACAAGGCCAGTCCACGTCAGGAGCAGCACACCCATGTCTGCCAGCGGGACAGTGCGTCGCGCCTTGGCGATTTCTCGCACCGAGACGAACTTCACGGGTCGATTGGCTTGGAGCCCCCATGTCAATGCCGACCCATGTTCGTTGTCGTCGCTGCTCGCTTCTTCGTCTTCCGTGCTCGCTTCCGTGCTAGTTGACAAGCTGCGACTGTCCTCGCGGTAGGCTTTTGCCGGCACGATCTGGAGCTGAAGGTTCGCCTTGTCCGGCGACTTGTACGTCTTCCACCTCAAGTACGCCCGTGCAACTGCTTGGAACTGCTTGAAGTGCGACTCGTACGGCAGCAACCGCCAGTACGCTACCACGTCTGCCGCGACCTTGCGGTCCATGGCCGTCTCTTGTTGCCACATGTTATTGCCCTTGCGGTACGTGCGACAAGCGGTTCGACTTAGAAACCCCACGAGACAGATGGTAGTGAGCCACTCTGGAAACACGGCGTTCAGATGGACCCCAATGATTGTCCCAGCGAGCGTCAGGGGTTCCATGAGCAACATTGTCTCGTAGTCAATCAGCGGGCGATGAAGCACCAATGGGTGACGTTTGCGAACGTTCACGAGGAAGCTGGCGATTGCACCGCCAAAGATAGTGGCCTTGGACAGTGGTACGGCCTCGTGGGCCGACAGTCTCATTAGGATAATGTACATCGGGACAAGAAGCCCTCCGCCACCCAATCCCGACCCAGCAGCTAAGACAGTGGCGACGAACCCACCGATGGAGCCGGCGATCTCTTGTCGGGATAGTGGAAACAGCGCATCGGTCGCACACACGCCGCCATCACACGTGCTGTACTTGAGACCCTTTGCCAGACAATCAGCAGATACTTCACAGGTCAGCTGTGCCTCAGTGGATGGCGCCTGCGAGTCGTTGACATTGGCCGCAAATGCGATGGAGCAGATGGACAGACACGTTGCAAAGAGCAGCAGTGTGGAGCACGGGATCATGATCGATGTGCATTGACAAAAGTGACAGGTTGGGCGGGCAGACTGGTGCCGAGTTATGACTGGTGGAGGGTCCTACGCCTCGCGTTCTCTCTCACGGGTTATATGAACACGCATTCACGTGCTGCTGCTGGTTGTGTATACTTACACGCACACAGGACCACTTGGTTCATGTTTTGTGTTTTTGACGCTCTCGAACGTCTTGACGTGCTCTTCCTCCAGTAAGTTGTCCTGTTTTGAGCTGTGCTTTTCTGCACATGATTAAATTCGGTATCCCGAGCACACTCTGTAGCCGCAACGTCATGAATTCTACGATTTAGCCAGAATGGGCACTGCAATCACTTCAAACTCCTTTTACGTTGCGGTTTGTTCGTAGCACCGATAAAAACACCAGTCCCCATTAATTATATACAGTGAGCCAAGATATTCTACGTCACCGAGAAACAAGGCCGGGCCAAGTGCTGTGTGCGTTGCAAACATTAATTAAATGTTGCACGGACTTTATGAGCAACCTGGTGACTGAACGAGCATACACCGAGCGGGGAGCTGGATCCAGGGGAATGATTGAGTGTAATCATTGATTGCAGTCCGTCGCAGTGAACATATCCGAGACACTTACAACACGTCCAATTCGTACACTTCTTCTCGTCATTCTTAACCTTCTAGATCCTACCAAAACATCGTCTTTGGTCAGCTACCGCTCAACATGCTCATTCACCACGAAAAGGTAGGAAAGCCCCAGAATCCTAGGTTTGAATGGAATGAAAGCACCTTGATAGGTAAATTTGAGGACTAAGGTGCCATTGACAACACACGCTGAGTGTAACGAGGGGAGCCCAATAGAGCATATCGACATAATAAATGTCAATGTTTACATACAATATTTGCAGATACAACTTTTATACGGTCACCCTTGAGAGGTACTATTTAATTACTTCTGCTCATTAATCAATGTGGGTGATGCATTTCAAACGAATAATGCGCCGAAACAATAATGGAAGCGCGCAAATGGTGGCTGGCGGATTGTTATTTTTCGTGTAAAGAGATATAATTGAGAATGGTGCGACTTTAAGTTAGGATAGGCATATTATATATGCGGATCTCTTTTTTATTTTAGAAGAAGTGTGCATAAACCTAAATTACTTCCTCTGCACACACGGTCAGTAAGAATCAAGACACCTGCCCCCACTGTTGTCAGTGTAGATTATCTTATGCTATTGCAGCGTGAGCGTGGTGCTCCGTTGAATTTCGCACTGACTGATAGGCCACTGTGCTAGCCATCATTGTCGCAAATCAGTGAGATACACGCTGAATGTGTGTTTAGCAATGTCGTCACCACACTCGTTTGTCAATATACAAAATGCAATGTGAATATACATTTCGGGTTTATGTCATTATCTATTCAGCTAGTAAAACTCTACTGAAGTCTAATGACTGCTCGTTAGTAATTATTTCATCGTGCATTATTAGTCAGTCTCTAGCTGGCCGAGGCGCTACTTAACGAGAAGCAGAGGTCGGCATGTATATCTGGTGCTGAGTATTGGGGATGTTAGTGAGAGAGGCGGGCAATTGATGATACCAAGGAGGCTCTCATGAAGATATCTACAATTTTCTATTTACATTACCGAAAAACGTTGTTTGATTGTGCGCGCTTCCTCGACCCGGTATTGTGCATGGATTCTCAAGATGTTGTATTTTACTGATAATAGTGTCAATATATGTATATATCTATATATTTGTGTTAACGCGGAGAGCACTTTCTTACAACGATATTTGTGACTAAGGTTTTGGGCGAGGCAACTAAAGACTAGGCTATCGCGTTTATTCGTTCGACTATGTACAGTATTAGACTTTTCCACACGCAACGCTGAAGATTGCGGTCAATCTTAAATCGATCAAAGCCATAGCCTTTCATTGTAAGCATTGTTTCGATTGACATACGTATGTAGAGATTTGTAAATCACTAGCGTCTCTAGCTAACGAAGTCGCGATGGACAAATTATGTTTCCACAAAAAAACAATGTGTAATCCCGATGCATCAATTTTCATTCTATTCACTGTGCCTTTTTCACTAATATCGAAGTACGCACGTACCCAGTCCAACTTTCTCGTCATCATTCTCTCCTTTCCTGACCCAGTCGCCATCTCGCAGTTTGATCAGACTGACAGTTCTTCTTCCGGCACTACTGATCTGCTTTCGCAGTACTTTATGTGATCCTTACATGCAGTGTATCTCACATTACTGCTACCGGTTCTATTTCGTAACTCTGCAATGCGTGGCGCTGCGATTCGCTTTTTCGACCGTCGTGGCTTGCATTACAAACGAACTTGAGCTTGAATTCGCCGCGCTTGCGCTTGCTTCATTTTCGAAATGCCTTTGAAGTCTCCTCGTTGTAAGCAATAATTATAATGGGTACCAAGAATTATAGCTTCTGTGGCGAAGTAAATAATAGATTCTGTGGTGAAGTGGGGTTTACAAAATTTTCTGATGGGTCACGAGTGCTCATTGGCGCCCAGACAAACGGCCATTACAGGGAGTACTCCGTTTCCGTGTGTAACGTCTTTCTTACCTAGTGGGTATGTGGGCAGGGTGAGTTGAAAATTCCTTAATAAAGTCAGTTTAATGCCGAACATGAATGTTTTTCGAACCGTTCGGAATTCGATCGAGCGCGATTCTTCGCTCAATCGTCTTTAGTCTCGGATGGTACATGATGCGCGTATACCTGATCAATATGGACCTCCTAGTCCGACAATGCACACGCAACTACTTGGTACACTTGCCTTCTGACCCCCTGATCCGTCTCGCAGTCTTGAATCTGAATCATTAAGAGTTGACCAATCGCAGTTGCAGTTTTTGCAGTTCTACACGCGCCTGTTCAAACGATTCAGGGGAGGAACTTGTGGGGAACAAACGTCTCTCTCGAAACGTTGGATACTATCGAAAATGATGCCTAAAGAAAAGTCAACACGTGTCATAAGAACTTTATTGAGCACTACTTTATGCTAACAATCAAAATTGAAAATAAGCTGATACTGTATCTTCGGATCTGCTGTCGCGTGTCATCCCTCTAAAAACTGTCCCCTTGTACTATGTGGCCTACCTTGGCCAACTTCCACATGGGACACGATCTAGTGCATGGTCATGGATCGTTTATCGCAGACCGCGGTGTGGGATACACCATACTGTAAATCGCGAGCGCGTTATTGGAAGAGATAACCATCCCACACTGAGCAAGTGACTGCCGCTACTCCCCCATTCCTGACATGCATCCTCCAGCTCTTGACCGTTTCCATGTCCATGTAACTGTATGGTTATTGCAGATCACTGATTTTGCGAAGCAAACATGATCCTTAATTCCTGGCATATAGCTTTAGCGTAAGTTCAGACTGCGGACAATCGATGGTGGTCGTGTCCTTCAGATCGCACCATCTCCCTATCTGTATCAGCATTTAATTACAATTACAAATTGCCTCTAGGCAGAGTATTCGGCTGCATCAATCGTCGCATACAAATGAACAATCGTAACATGTCAATTGCGACAATCTCCACAAATCATTGTCGATTCGACTTAACCGAACTCACGATTCGACTTAGCCTAACTCACGATCCCGTCCTTGATGTAATCACTTGACCACTTTGTCATACTTCAGCCTACGCACAGGGTAGCCGATCACAAACGTATTTATGGATCAACTAGCCACATCAACAAGTATCACTTTGATCGCTGAAAGCGCCACAGAAATATTTCGCTCGAAGTGCAAACCGGCAGGAGCTCCGTTTAGGATTATCTTGGCCCCGTTTATAATTGGCGCATCCTTTTGTCTGCTGCATACCCCGCTTATTCGAATGTAAGTATAATTGCCAACGACTTTCCATCTTCGATTGATGTATATGTAGCTTTGTATCAGACATTAACCGTGATATCTTGCGATGTGCTTTGCAATCTTCATGCCATTCTACGCCGGGTTATGATGTGTCATTCAGGCTTTGCGATTACGACATATGCGATGTCTTGTCGCGTGGACCTCACGATGTATAGCACCTGTCGACGAGTTACTGGCAGCTTCTTGCGGTTGGGTACTATGTCGTTCCAGGTCGCTTTGCTGAGATCAATTCGTCGCTTCCGAGCTCCGCTCATATTGAAGTTACATATGATACCGGTAGGACGAATTTGATTTTCTAAGCCGTGGTTGCGCAACTTTTCAGTGATTGTAAACTTTTGATCGATCACATATCCATCTGTGAAGCTGAAGTAAACCCTGATGCCAAGAAGTTGTTCGTTCTTGCCAAATTGATTATAGGCAGGGTCTTTATGGACAAGTACAACTCACCCGCTTAATTCATTCTTGTGGCTGAGACCAGTGAGTCATCAACGTACGCACCAAGTAACGTCGTAGCATCGCAGTCGATTCGGTAGTACGGACAAGAATGGGAGATACCATGCACAAACTCAACAGCTGAGATTTTAAGAATATATCTATGTTACGTGACTACTCGTTGAAGAAAGTCCGGAAAATCTTTTCACCAGGCACAAAGTCCGCTCTCTGAGCTGTTGACACTGAGCTCCAGCTTTGTGAAGTCCATGACGGGTAGGACGCGTATACGTAGGTGGAATTTATCGTTTAGAAGCTTTTTGCGCAGGCAGTTGGCACGTTAAAATTGATCTCTTATGCACCTCAGTATATTGATAAGACCAATACCAGCTTCGCAATATTCATGTCTATGACCGCAGCATACGCCGGCTCGTGGTCGGCCGCAAAGACTTGCTTATTCGACCAGCAACCAAACGTGCTTTGTACAGATACTAGCATTTTACCACTTTTTTCCTTTTACATACGATGAGCACAATAAGTTGATCTGAGACAGATTATTACAACTTCACAAATAAATGCCTTATGCCTTTCGAGGACGAATCCCTCGTATCTAGCATCTACTCAAATATTCTTTATCGCCGTCGAGCGAAATCTTGTACGTTTTTGTATCTAGTAGGTGAGCAGCAAAATCTGTCCGTCACGTAACAGTACAAGGGCGTCTGCTTTTAAAACATCACGTACACCTTACGCGCAGAGGAAGTGAAGAATCTGAGCAGGAGTTGCTGAGAAGGGAAGAAATGAAGAACTGTACATAGAGATATTTTAAATATCGTTACTCATCTTCCATATCATACGTGCACATTACCAAGTGCAAAGTCTCGATGTAGAATCTCACTCATCACTCATTGTGCGCAATAGCCAGCAGCGATTGGTGGTTTATCCGGTTGCCATGGCCTATGACAACCGATTGTGAAGCGGTGCCGAATATCACCTCTAGAGATAATACTCCAATCAATCTTAGCTCGCAAGAGTAGTAATATTGTTATGTAGCATCAATATCGATAATATTCACATTGGCCCATTTCATGCCAATGACAGGTAACAGGCTCACCTCGTTACACTGTGATTATCCGGTAATAGTATTCTTCGACACTGAAGCGGTATAGGCCGCAGCAGCATACGATCCCATCGCTTGTTTTGTAGCATTTATGTCGAATTGGCATTGATCAGCTTAACATTTGCAGACTTGCGCGTATAACTCCGAGCCGTTTGAAAACAGGAGACATAAACGTTGCTTTGTGAATTGTCCGCGATGCGTAAGAAGTCGTGACGATTTGTGTATGGTATCAGTCTTGGCATTACTAGTTTCATTTACTGAGTAGCTTTCTCCTGTAAAGCATGAAGACGTGAAAGGTCGAGCACACTTTATTTGGGAGCATCAACTACATTTGATGCACTGATTTGTAAGTGTACTGGTCACGTTGCATCTTCGCGCGAATCGCCGACTACAAAATGACGGCCAGACCGAAATGCTATGATGTTGCGTAGCATTCGAGAATATTGAGGGCTTTCGATGTAGCTGGCATGCACTTAGTGCGTCATATCGAAAGCCTCCATTCTTCGCCACGTGCAAAACAGCTCACAGCCAGTCTTCAGCCTTAGTCGTCACCATCGTTCGCATCAGCTAACACAGTTGCATGCTTTTGCTGCTATGTTCAGCCCTAGTACCGATCACACGTGCGCTACGTAGTCCAACATTCGTACACGCACTGCTCTAGCACGTAGAAATACTACTCAACGAGATACTCTTCTTCGTCATCTTCGTCATGATCCACCGCGGCAAATTCTTGTGATCGTTGGTGCTCTGATACGGAATGACTGCATTTAAGACGATTGTGACGTACCATAGAATGAGCGAAAGCAACGAACTTCCGAAATCAAGCACACTATTCTGTACCTGCGTGCGAGTATGACCTCCATCTCGACGTCGCGTTCCAAACTGTTGAGCGTTAGGTTCTGTGGGCAGCCTGTACATGTCGTTAGTACTGACTCTTTTTTTCTGCGCACAATTCTCCACACGAGCAGAAAGCCTCGTACCTGCAACAGGGCATTTCTTGCTGCGTTGCAAGTGGCTTTGAATGCCTTTCTTCGAGTACGTGTGGCCGCAACTCGGGCTACACAACAACGAAACAACAACACGCGCCGTCCAGTCACCACCAGTGAATCACTTTGCACCATCAAATGAGCAACGCACTTTCGTAGTGGATTCTCTATCTCGCCCTGAGTCACGGGGCAGATGGTGCTCCTTCTACTCTCACTCTCCTGGATCGACATGTCGTCGTTTTCGTCCATCGCCAGCTCAATCTACCAGAGAACAGCGTCAGCATAGCACTCATATTATTTACAATCTACAACAAGCAGTCATTAGCCGCCACCCGTTTCGCATGCACGGCGTTTTACCCCCGCACTGTCGCAGAATTTCTTGTAAAAGTCGTGCTTCGTTGCATTGATCTTCGGCTTCGCCAACAAGTCCTTGAGCATCTTGTCCATCTTCTTCTTGTCGATTGATCCACTCTTGACAAGAGGGTCCAGCTTCTCCAGCTCCGTTCTGTACCGCGTCAACTGCGTCTCTAGTACGGCAAACTCTTTGGCTGTCCCGTCCAGCTGCTGCAGAAGCTCCTGATCGTCCAGTTCCTTGACAAACCTAGCGTTGTTGCACAGCGACTCAATGCCTTCGATCGTGTACTTGCGCAGCTCGAGCTGCTGCTTCTTGGACGCGTACAGCGCCATCTTGAGCGCGTTCGGCAGCGCCTGCTGGATGTTGGCTTCGAGCTCCGTCGTCATGGCCAGTGTCCATTGTGGGGTGCACCACTCCACGTTCACGGCCGACCCGACGTGGGAAGATAAACCAATAAATTACACGGTCACGTGAATAAATGACAGCTTCGATCGCACAGCGCGTTTGCAACGATGGCGTTCGATACGGCAGGCGCGTCGAGTCTCGAGCAGTTTACGCTGCTGGCCAAGAACGCGCGTGGACGCGCATGCGTGGCACTGATCCAGCAGGTGCTGAGCAACAAGAAGCTGTTTGTCTTCCGTGAGCTGCTGGACATGCCCAATGTGGAGGCGCTGCGAGATTCCGAGTACAAGGAGCACTACGAACTGCTGCGCATCTTTTGCTTTGGGACGTATACGGACTACGTGGGTACGTGATCGATACAGATGTATGTATAGAGTGGATGGAAACAACGCGAAATGAACTCGTTGCGTGCGCTAATACGTGTGTCTGGATGTCGTAGCGCGCAAGCACGAGCTGCCGGAACTTACGCCGCTGCAGGTGAACAAGCTCAGGAAACTCACGGCAGTGCTGCTGGCTCATCGGTTCAAGGTAGACAAGAATAGGGATCTTGATGGGAGGACGATGGATGAAGTGTGAGCCTGATGATGCTCGCTGTTGCTTTGTGTTGTGGCCCAGAACATTCCGTACGACACGCTGATGCAAGAGCTGGATGTGTCGACGGTGCGCGAAGTGGAAGACATTCTCATTGAAGCTATTTACTCGGTAGGGAGATGCTGGGCTCGTTAATCTTGCGCGTACATGCTGGGGCTCTTGGGCTCACAGGTGGTCACTACGCTTTGCTTCACTGTTGTTGCCGGGCTGCTGCTTGCAGGGACTGATTCAAGGCAAATTGGACCAGAAGTTGCGCTGCTTTGTGGTCAAGTACGCTGTCGGGCGCGACACGCATGACGAAGGTGTGGACGAGATGATCGAGAAGCTCACGAACTGGAAAAAGCGGTCGGCGGAGATTTACGGGAAGATCGATACAATTCTCAGGTACAGGCTGCTTGTTTTACTGGTGTGTGGTAAGCTAGAAAGTCATCGAAAGCTGCTGATGTTCTTGCTGAGCTCAGTTTGGCAGAGAATCAAGAGCAGGAAGAACGAGTGCTACAAGAGAGCATTCGCACCAAGATGGAAGCTCGCGCAGGTGAGCGTGGCAAGGGCTTTGCATCTGGCAGCACGAACTTTCGTCCAGGCGAAGATTTCAGTCATTACGCAGATTCCGCAAGTCGACGAGGGTACGTCATGTGCCAGCCAGTCCATGCTCGATGCACATCTATCTGTGTATACAAATTGGTCAACAAAAAGCACAACAAAGCGGCTAACACCGTGTATGTTGTCAGAGCACCGTCCAAGTCGCACCTGCACACAATGGGGCGCAAAGGCCGAATGTAAGCAGAGCCTCCGTTTCACCGCTTCGTCGAACAGTTTAAACGCTTGAATGATCGCTTTAACCGCTGGTTTTACAACCCAACTTAACGTGAGCTGCTGACTATTTCTTGCATACTGAGCTGACTTTCGATTGGTCAGTCCGTCACTTGCATCCGCTGGTCATGACAGTTTCCAGCAGCAGCTCGGGAGCTCCTCGGAAGCGTCCAATTCAGGCACCCGCCTGGGGCTACGAACACCACAAGAAGCACCAGCAGCAGCACCAGCACCACCAGCAGCAGCCGCATACCACTTCAGCTGCTGCTGAGGTGCAACGCACTCGTCAGCGGCTGCCTATTTACGCCCACCGCAATACAATCGTCGAGGCTGTCAAGAGCAATCAAGTGATCATTCTCGTGGGCGAAACTGGAAGCGGCAAGACGACGCAGATCCCGCAGTACATATGGGAAAATGACCGGGTCCATGCCCGTGTAGCCATCACCCAGCCACGTCGCGTGGCTGCCATTACAGTGGCCCAGCGCGTGTGTGAAGAGGCGAATCGAGGTCCACTGGGCGATAGCGTTGGCTACTGCGTCCGATTCGACGATACGACGTCCACGAACACACGACTCAAGTTTATGACGGACGGAATGTTGGTGCGAGAGGCGCTGCTCTCGCCGACGCTTGAGCGGTACTCGGTCGTCGTGCTGGACGAAGCACACGAACGGACGCTGCAGACGGACATTTTGTTTGGAATCGTGAAGCGTGCGATGCTCAAGCGCAAGGACCTCAAGGTCGTTGTCATGTCTGCTACGCTGGATGTGGCACTGTTTCAGAACTTTTTTGAATCGTTCAAGCCCTCGGTGCTTCAGATTCCTGGACGGATGTTCCAGGTCGATGTCTTCTACACGGCCAAGACGCAGCCTGACTACCTCGACTCGGCGTTAGTGGCTGTGCTGCAGATCCACTTGCAGGAGAAGATGGTGAAGGGCAGTATCTTGGTGTTCTTGACGGGGCAAGAAGACATCGAGACGCTAGAATCGCTGCTGGAAGAATATGCGCGGTCGTTACCTCCTGGTGTACTGAAGCTCGTGGTGTGCCCAATCTTTGCTGCCATGCCGCGTGAGCAACAGATGAAAGTGTTTGAACCTGCACCGGAAGGGGTGCGCAAGGTCATCCTCGCCACGAATATTGCCGAGACTTCGATTACGATCAACGGTGTGCGCCATGTCGTGGATACTGGACTTGTGAAGCAGCGCTCGTTTGTAGCGTCGAGCGGGATGGAGATGCTACAGACGGAGCCCGTGTCGAAAGCTCAAGCTTGGCAACGCACAGGTCGTGCTGGTCGGGAGGCGCCTGGTATCTGCTACCGTTTGTTCCCGGAGGAGATGTTTGAACAGCTCCCAGAGCGGGCGATCCCAGATATCCAGCGTGTGAGTTTGGAAGTCGTCGTGCTGCAGCTGAAGTGCATGGGTATCGACGACGTGTTGGGCTTCGACTTTATCGAGAAACCGCTCAAGACGTCGTTGATCAAGGCGCATGAAAAGTTGTATGCGCTGGAAGCACTCGATACCAAGGGCAAGCTGACCACACGCGGTCGACAGATGGCAGGTCTACCGGTGGAGCCCATGTATGCTGTAATGCTGTTGAAAGCGACCGAATTGGGATGTGCGGAAGAAGCGTTGACCGTGGTGGCCATGCTGTCTGTCGAGTCCATCTTTTACTCTCCTCGCGACAAGAAAGCGGAAGCGGCGCAGTCCCGTGCACGGTTTCTCGCGTACGAAGGCGACCAGATCACGTTGCTCAATGTCTTCAATGGGTACATCCAGTGCGGAGTAAAGCAGCGCACAAAGTGGTGTCGCGACCACTTTATTAATCACCGAGCGATGACGCGTGTGGAGAGCGTCCGACTGCAGTTGAAGACGTACCTGGAAAAGCTCGAGCTGCCGATCGACTCTCGATTTCCTGACATTGATCCGTTGCGCAAGAGCATTGTAGCCGGTTTTTTCCTGAACACAGCTATGCGGTCCGTTGCTGAGGGATTGGGTGGTGGCTCCAAGACTGCGTACAAGACAATATGTGGTCCGTCCGACATTGTCAAGGTGCACCCGTCGTCCTCGTTGTTCATGCGCAATCCACCGCCCAAGTGGGTCGTCTACAATGAGCTGGTTTTCACGAGCAAGCACTACATCCGATCGGTGCTCGTGATTGAGAACGAGTGGCTCGTGGAATTAGCGCCTACTTTTTTTGCCAAGAAAAACAGAGCGACATTGTAAGAAATCGAGCGATACGACTCGAGCGTAGTGATTGAATGATGGGTCTGTTGTTAAAGTAGAGTGGCAAATGGGGCGTGCACGAATATAGTGTGTCGTTGGTGTGTATTTTCGGCATTGATGTCCGCGTGCGCCTAAACTGTGGCCCACCACAGCGTCTTGTCGTCCAGTTCTCGGTCGGGTCAAACAACCGGACGACGTTGCTGCGCTTGGCACGTTTGTATCGCTTTAAACAGGTGCAACCGCTCGGTATACGTTTCGAGAGGTCAGCATCCTTGGGCGATTGGCCGCCAATCAATTGGGTTGAGCCACACTGTTCGTGCCGCGACGCCGCCCATACCTTCAGTCCCTCGATCGTCCAATTCATCCGACTGGTACGTGCGACACAGACGACAGGACGTCTGTCCTGCTGTCTCGACTGCAACGAGCCCCCGCTCGTCTCCGTCCCCTGTGCAGTGTATACCGTAGCGATAGAGAAAGCGGTACAACAGCTCGAGACCCATTCATCGCTGCTGTGCTTGCGGGCAAAAGCGTCTGTCGTATTGGTCTTTGCTCAAGTAGGGGGAGAGTGGGAATAAGACAGAGACAGGGGCTTGTTGGGGACCATTCGAGCGACGCGAGGTCTATTGCAATGGCGTTTTCAATTGCAGCTCTCACTCACGTGACGCTGTGCGTTGTTGTTGTTGTTGTTGTTGTTGTATGGTTGTTGTATTGTGGATAGAACTTGCAACAATGGTCGCTTCAGCTGGTCAACCCACTCGTCTCTACGTCAAGGGCGTGTTCCTGGGCTACAAACGCGGCCTGCGGAACCAGTACGCGCACACGGCATTGGTCAAGATCCAGGGCTTGACGGACAAGAAGGACGTGGACTTTTACTTGGGCAAGAAGATCGCGTACATCTACAAGGCCAAGTCGCTGAAGAACGGCACACAGTTCCGCGTCATTTGGGGCAAGGTCGTGCGTGCTCACGGCAGCAACGGCGTGGTCCGTGCCAAGTTTGCCAAGAACTTGCCGGCCGAGGCCATGAGCAAGAGCGTGCGTGTCATGCTGTACCCAAGCCGCGTGTAAGTGCGTGCGGCGCGGTTGTGTGCACTCGCGCGTTTCCAAGCAGCTTGGTAGTTAAATGACAACGAAGAGGGATTGTGGCAACGTGGCCTCGTGGTTGTTCTGGAGCTTGTGCTATTCCAATCCGTCTTCTGGCTACTTGTTTACCACTCTGGTAGCTCGATCGATCAGTGCTGGAGCTTCGTGTGTGAGCTACTTCCTTGGGCCACACTGTCGCTGAATAATGTTGCCTCGACACGCTCGTTGGTTGTACAGTCACACGCATAAACTACTAGGCACGCACCTACTTGCGTGCGGTCTACATCTCAAACTGCTCATAATGCACATCAAAGATGCCAGCAAAGTTAGAGGCCTCGACCTCCACCGAGCGAATTAGACTCGAAGGACCTGATACCCAAGTACCAATGCCCGTAATATTGACAACAAAGTTGTGGGCTTGTTCCTTGACCACTTCGTTGAACAGCTGCAGCACGTCTAGTCGTGAGCGATTCACGGGGTGGCGAAAAGCGACTTCCTGTCCTTCGACCGAGTGCGACCGCGAGTACTCTGACGAGCGGTCGAAATGTGTCATCGTATCTCCCGGTCCGTAGCTGGTATACGTAGGCACAAGCCGCGACTTTTCCAACCGACTCATCGATCGAGGCGTAGGCTCCGTGAACACCACAATCCAGCCGATGCTAGCGCCCACGATCACAATGAGAACTTCGGCAATGCGCTGTATCGGCCACAAGTGCTGATTCACGCGCAGCGGCCCCAGGATCGGGTAGTCGTACCGAACGAGAAACAGACACCAGAAACTGCACGTGAAAGTCACGAAAAACAGCAACATTTGACGGGGCACGGACCGCGACGCTTGATAGAACGGCCGCGTGGGGACCATGCTCGTATCGTCCATGGGCTTCAGCATGATCCCGCTCGGGACATCCACGCCACCCAAGTGCTGGTCACCCGTAAAGTAGAGACAAGTCTTGACCTTGACATGGCTCGGATCGTACTGCTCGATAGCATCCAGCAAAGGCTCAAACTCGTGAAAGATGCCAACTTCGCGGGACGTCCAGTGAAAGTACACCTGCGTGAACTCGACGTTCGGGTCATTGTTGCGCATGCAATCGAGGATCTTGCCGATAATGCTAATGATCGGTGTAGCCCCCACACCACCAGCTACAAACACGAGCGCCGGGTAGTGCTGGAAGTCGTCCGACATTTTGCCGTAAAAGCCATCGACGTAAATAAGCGGCATCTTGCGCTCTTCCCGCGCTTGGATGGCCACAGCATACAACGACTTGGTCCACTTGCCTACGCACTTTACGTGCACGGTAAACGTGTCTTCGTACTCGATCGGGGACGAGCTAATGCTGAACGGATGCCACTGTATATGCGACAGCAGCGGAATACGCAGGTAAACAAATTGACCAGCATGGTAATGACCCGACTTGCCCGGTGAACGGCGGAACACCAAGCGCGTGATCTCGCCAGGAATCGCTTCCAGATCCACAACTTCACATGGCATGCGACTCTGACTGCGAGCCAAGATACGGTGCATGACATAGAGACACACGGCCGGGTACATCCAGATGACAAATCGCGAAAAGTGCAGTGCTCCGAGGAAAAGCACCAGCACGAAGAGGTGGTGGCAGTAGTAAAACAGCGCATAGTACCGGCGGCGGATCGGACCGAGCGACGTCACGCCAATGATGACACAGCAAAGCAGTGCCAATTGACCGCAAAAGTTCTCAAATCGTCTCTTGCCGACTGTGCCGTAGTCGCAGTCCATGCAAGGAAACGACGACTCGATGAACGTGCCGCTCTTGTACCAGACGTAATACTGCGGCATCGCATGCAGCATCACGATTGCAACCGTAAAGAACCCAATCCAGCGGTGGTACTTGATCGCGTGCGGGTAGTCAATGCCCATTGAAATCATCCAGAAGGAATTCCGCGTGGCAGGAATGAGCAGCAGCGAGAAACAGAGCACAGCGTTGAAGCCCAGCACTGTCCCCACGAGTCGGAAGAGGAACGCAGGAGTCATCATCTTTGCGCCAGTTGCGAGAATCCGGTAATTTCGGGACAACACGGCCGCAAACCAAATGGCATTCAGACCTAGAAACACGAGCGTGCACATGGACTCGGCGTACGACATGTTGACGCTGCCCACCAGCATCTTGCGCTTTAAAAAGCGCATGGCCGTGCGATGGGCTCCAGTCGGTACAGGCGGCATGGCATTGCCCAGAGCAAGGGCCATGCCGCCAATCATGAACGGCAGGCCAATCAAGACGTAATTGACGAGGAACTCGACAACCTCACGCCGTCCACCGATCCATTGGCCCTTGACAGTTTTCGAGCCAAAGGCAGCGTAGAGGTGGTAGCGTAAGCCCGTGCGGTACTCGGGCAGCTCGTGGTAGATGATCGTAAACACGACCACTGCTGCACAGGCCGCTACTGTGACGAACGGCCACGTCTTGTAGTTCTTGTCCACTGGGGTCCCGTACACGAACGGCGTGGCAATCGGCGACGCTTTGCCAGCCATGTGACTGACGCTCATGCTGCTGAGCGTAAAGAACTTGCCGTGATTGCGACTGCTGTCTTGATTGTCGCTGGAACTCATGGCCTGGAGCTGGCGCCGCGTCGACGACTCCGACGGCAAGTCGAGCCCATTGATCCCGTCCATGGCAAAGTTGACCATCTTCAGTCAAAGAAGAGCTGTTGCAGCGACACGACCACCGAACACGTCGCTCGTGCTACGTGAGACGCGAGAGATAAATAGAACTGTCGTGCGAGCGAGTGGCGACGTCGCTCACAGACGCACACGACGCAGAGACAGAGAACGAGAACGAGAACGCGCGCGCGCGAGAGAGAGAGAGAGACGTACCCCACACCCGCACCCACTCACAGACGGCCTGAACGGGTCCGTTCCTTTACGGCCTTTTTGCCAGCCGACGGGTATGGGCACACTGCGTGGAGACCACTTGTCGCTCGGGTCAAGAGAGTACGGACAGTCAGTCAGTCAGTCGGTCAGTCGGTCAGTCGGTGCGACTCGTGCGCGTCGTATTGTCGTAACATATTAACGAGCGCAACGACAGTCGAAGCGCTCGTCTGATTGTGTTGTGGTGGCGGCAGTGCCTTTCTCTGCGCCCGGACAGACAGGTCGGCCGTTTCTGAACGAGAGAGTGGTCGCGGCGCGGCGACCATATGGGTCGGGTCAAGAGGCGTTTGTGTGACAAGGGCCCCCTACCCTCACCCACACCCCCACACACAACCCCCCACCCCCACCCTCTCTCTCGACTATTTTTAGCAACGACCGGAGCCCCACGAGCGAGTTCGTTCCACCCACGCGGTGCGGACATAGACGGGTTCTTACTTGACATGAGCGTGAAAACGCGATAAGGGGTCGACTTTACACAATTTCAGCATTGATGGGAACGGAATTACACACTCGCGCGCAGGTGCTGAGCGTTTTGCTCTACTTTAGAAGACGCGCAGTCAGTCAGCAGTAGTTGAAGGAGTGATGCGCAGGTTTGCACAGGCGCGATTAGCGCAAACTGCGTCGATTGTCGTCGTTTGCGCAGGCTTTTTCGCCGTGTCGATATGCTCCTGTGAGGTCGAAATCTCTCTCTATCTCTCAATCTCACTCTCTCTCTCAATCTCTCTCTCTCTCATTCAATCTCTCTCTCTCTCTCTAACTCTTTCAACGACTCGCAGCAAAGCCAGACACAGGTGCATATAAACGGTGCCAACGTCTCCTGCGTCGACGTTGCGCGGTTTGGCGTTGTTTGCCCGTTCCGACGTCTCGCTCAGTCGGGACTCATGCGTGTGGGTGGGTGTGCGTTAGCCAATATGTTGGGTCGTTTGGGAGATGCGCTGTCGCACTAGACGCTATTCTGCATGCGTGTCTTCACATCAATGGGCTCTAGAATGGCGTAGTGTCATGCCGCTCTGTTCCGACGAGGCTGGGCATCACTGTCGGCGCCAGCTACCGAACGTGACGATGTAAGAGGAAGCGACGAGTTCCCCGGTGCTCGCGATGGCCACTGCAGCTCTACATGTGCTAGATGGGTCCTTGAATTCGGCCTTCGAGAAGAAGGCGCGGCCAGCACCTCGACAGGTCGGACGGGTTTTCTGCATCCCACGTTTATTACAATGTAAACGTTTCTGCAGATACAGTGTAGCGACTGCTCATTCGATTCCAGTGTTGCTTTCCCTCCACATACAAAAAGCTTTTCCTCTGGACCCCTGAGAAGTCGTGCGTGGGCTCTTCGTGTTAGAAGCCCGGGTCTTATTCGGGGAATACGGTGAGGCGGCTGCTCTGCTGGCTTCTTGACATGGAATGTGGGCTCGGTGGTCATCAATGAATGTGTCGTCACACATGAAGCAAGCTTGGCTGCTGAAGAGAAGGTCGATGGATGTTTGTTTGCTTGCTTGCTTGCTTGTTCAGTCAGTAGTGATGGGTTACTGTACGTAGCAGACTGGGTGCACCTTCGTAAGGTATGAGGCACTGCTTTGCACTTGACGCTGTTGACTGTTTGTTGGCCTTCGTACAAAACCCACGAGATTTGTCCCATGACATTACGATGGGACTGGGCTTTCCATTCGGTGAAGTAGGAAAAGCTGACAGCCATGTGGGGGGAAGCGTGACTGCCAATACTTCCCTCGAACAACCAGTCGAGTGCAGCATTGCGGTGGCTTACGATGGAATACGCTGACTGACCCAAGCGCGTGTCACGCGACCTCTCGTGTCAAACTCGGTGCAGCTTCGATTGCTGGTCCGAAGAAGACACGTACTAACGACATGGCCCGCGGGAACTGATCGCGTCGTTTTGTTGCTATACGCCATTTTCCTACGGACAGGCATCAACTCACGTATGCACGTCATTGGTCACGTCGGCCGCTGGTAGCCTGCAGATCAATCAATGGACACATATATGCGCCATCTCTGACGATGCTGTCGCAGCTTTGAAGGTCGTACGAATCTTGAGCTCGGTGCATGGCCGTGATATGTGAAGGTCAGTCGGTCCATGCGGGCCTGTTGCTTGCACATCTCCTCAGCGTTTGCTGAGACGTAGATGTTACAACATACCAGCGTCGAGTCGGTGCATATGCAAAAGAAGCGTCAATGCGCAGCACAAGTGTCAACAGGCAAGCCGTATCACGCTTGCGCACAGCAGAGTATATCAGAGCTGGACGACAAGATCGAGAGCTCCAGTCATCCGTTCAGCAACAAGCCTAAAACTGGTCGCGATGGCAACAATGTCACTAGTTTTCATCTTAGATCTTGTGGATGGGTCCACAGAGCAGACCCACGACGCCATCCTCCATAAGGACAAACGCACTACGGCAGACAGCAGCTAGCTCATGCTTTGTTTCGTCGAAACGGAACGGAACTGGAACGGGCTGTATTACTGTTACTTCCCGGATTCCCACCAGCCTCTAGACGCCAATCGTGGATTTGCACTTAAAAGCGGAGCTTCTTGAAGAAGAAACTGACACCAGCAGCCTTCTTCTCCGACTTGCACGCACCCTGGTTCAGGTAGCTGTCACGGGAACACGAGAGCACGTCAGGACTCTCACTGAGAAAGTATAAAGTCCACAAAGCGTCACAAGTAATGCAGTCGAAACGTACCGCTCCTCAAACACCTTCTTAATCGTCTTGCGGGACTCAATGCGGGTCTCCGGGTTGCCCAGCACCTCGTCGTCCAAGACCTTCTTCAGATCGATGTCGGCCACGTAACGGGTGGGCATGATGTGGTTGTAGTTGACGTACTTGACGAACGGTTTCACCTTTGAGCGCTGTTTCACCTTAGCCTTGCTCATGGCGCGTGTCACCTTGCGCGGGTAGCGGTCAATGCCAGCAACTACATCGGTCACACGCCACGTAGTCAGTCCCAACGCTCTCACCACCTACACAGCTCGTGGCAAATGGACCGTCTCGTACCGATCGCGTGGCCAAACTTGCGGTCACCACGACCCTCGTCAAACGTCTTGACAACAATCGCCTTGCGGCCGGCAAAGCGGCCGTTCAGCAGCACCACGACCTTTCCGTTCTTGACACTACAGCATAGCAGCAAGAGCAGTCAGTACCCCCCCCCGTCCAGTAGTCCAGTGGTTCGGTCGTTGTGTACAGCCCAGTCCATCGTCGCCTCTTTTGCACGCGCTCTTAGCCACAGACTCTGGATCGGATTGCTGGCGGCTGTCCAGTCTATCTACGCCCTTCCTGTTCATGCCATCCACTTACATGCCCATGATTCCGTTCGCTGGTGCAGTTCCGTACTGCTCGCAGCCAAGAGCGCCTGCCAGGGCCAACCAATCGTGCACGCGACGTCTCTGATTGGCTCTTTTCCTGTAGCTGCTCGGTTTGGCTCGACTCGGTTCACTGAACCGCTGAGGGGAAGGGCTACGGGGACAAGGCGCTCCTCTGCCAGCTTTGATCAATGTGTCACACACCACGATGTAAACTTAAGCGAAGTGAAGATGGTACAAATCGCGAACGAACGAGTGCGTGTAGGCGATCGATCCATGATAAGTTGGTAAGCCAAATGGGATTAGTACGACACCTGGCCACCCCGACATTGCACACACGAATTGCCACGCTTCATGTGTGGTTGCATGGGTCACGTTTCTGAGACTGCTTTTTATTGCGCGTCGTAGCACCAACGATGTCTCTCACCTTTATAGAGGAAGCTGGCGTCAAGAGTTAACACGTTGTATCAGCACACGGAGGGCACGCTGGGAGTACCTCATCAAAACACAGACGACTCGTATCTTTGCTTTGCGGGTTTGCGGTGCTTTGACCAGATGTTTAGTGCGGAGGATACATAGATGACATCGTGTGCATGATAAAGTGATCGCTTACGTTCCGTGCAATGTATCTGTTGTCACGTGGGACCTTGCAGTAACGTGCATGCAGTGTGACGTATCACATATGTTAGCTCACAATATCTACTCTCTTGTGCGACTGGTAGGCGCGTAAACAAATTGTTTGCGCTACCGAAACCGTTGTCCGAAGAGTGATGCGACGTCCATTGTGTAAAAGTGGGTAAGGCAGTGATACAATTCGATCTCCAAAGACAGGGTAGATGTTTCAATTCGAGAGTAAACGAAATGAAAATGGTACGACCGCATCATGTACCGACCACGGCCTTCATATCAATCATTGATTGACAACGATGATGTCCACGTCGATCATGATGTTAGCTAACAGACCACTAATCAGGAGATGCACGCAACCGAGTGGTGGGTCATTGAGCTTATGTTGAGATCTCTACCCGATATGTACTCGTGTTCGATCAATCTAAGATTGACCTAAAACATAAAACGCTGTTCTCGTCTTCCCGGCATTCGACCAGTCAATTTGTTTGCATGCTTCCTGCATTGCACAGTGCGCGTGAGGCGAGTGCATTTGTCAACTAATGCTGTCACGTGTGAGGTCCTGGATAGCACCTCGTACGTCTGCATCCCCTACTAACGTACGGCATGCTCGTTGCTACTCGCAGAGGTGTACGAACTTCGTCGAGTCACCAAAAAGTCGTCGCCTGACGCATGTACGGACTTGCCTCGCAAGCAATAACGCGTCGGACGAGAGTTCTGCGCACATCAGAAATACGCAGATCGATAATGATCGAATGGTCGGTAAACTTGTTGACTTGTCCGCAAGTATACCAAGACTTGCGTGCGCCCAGATGGTCAAGGCAAAGGCGCGTTGACGTTGTCAATAGCCGCTTCATACTTTTCGTGCTTTTTGGCACTTCTCTCAAGCACACGTCCTTTATCCGCGTGCCGCTTTCGCGCAATTGCAGGAGCTCGCCGTATACAGTAGCGCCTTGCTCACACTGGGCAGTAACTCAGTACTCGCCGATCGTTGTGATTGTGACGTCGTCTGTGCTCGACCGTGTGAGAGCAAGACTGATAATATGCACATAGGTTCTCTTTCTACCATAGCCAGATATAGATGGGCTTGTCGTCTTTCGTGTGCGTTCTCTTCACTGCGACTTAATCTTCGTGCCATTTATCGCATCGTGTCTACCCGTTTGACACCTTGGCAAGATAGCGTCGTCATCATCCAGCCTGCCAACAACGTATCGGTTCGAAGTTCTCCGTGCAGATATGCTAACAACTCGCCGCATCTGCACTTTGCAAAACGTGCCATACAGCTTCATCCTTAGCGTATCGCAAGGTCCAAGACGAGAACGCGTACGATCCGGTGTCACTGCTTTTGATGCGTCAAAGCACTTTGTGGCTGCTCCTAGCTTCAGGCTTGGTATTTTCTCTGCGTTTTCGTCTTTTGTAGCTTTCGCACTATGTTTAATGGCTTTAGCCTACAGCTCCATCTACTCTCAGGTAGACGTCCCATCAGTCGAACGCTTCACCGACTCGAATGTCTTTGCATTGTTACAAGAGCTGTACGAGGATGCTTTACCGCGATACCGATCTATCTACGCCTTGCAAGCACAATAACATGGACGTTACATTCAGAAATGATCTTACTTGTACAGTTTTGTTGTTGTTTTGCGCTTTGTACAAGTTGGTCATGCTTTTTTGTTCTCAGATGGCATGTAGATCGTCTGCCCACGATAGAATGGATGTGTGTGTTTTTTCCATTAACATTACGTCGTTCAGTAAATGTCCAGTCCACTACTCGAAAGGCGTCGCGGCCGAGTTCATTACCACATAGGTCTTTCTTTTTTGCATGTGTAAACCAGCATTTGTGCGCAGAGACGATGTCAAGTTACAGTAGTTCTGTACCGCCTGTAGGATCGCTACCTCTCTTATTTCATCAGATCCACCAATCGATAACCACGATAAACAAGGAGATGAAGGAGATCAGTGGATGCTTCACTGAGCAAGAAAAAGGAACACGGAGAGTGGTGGACATTTGCTACGTGCAAGAGTCAACCTTCGGAGTTGTTCCTGCTTTGCAATCGTACAGCTGGATTCACTAATGTTGAATGTTCCAAAGCAACAAAAGCGGATTGATATATTGGTAGCGTTCGAATGCCGATACGTACATTGCGAAGGGGTACGTCCGCTCAGACTGAAGCAGCCTTATCTCAACTAGAGGAAGTGGCGAGACGCTGCTTTTCAATTCAGCACACTGTTGCACAATACAGAATCTCGACGGCCGCTGCTGTGTCGCTGATGTTAATGTGAAAAACAATATTTGCGACAAAAAAGAACTCGCGTGCATGAGCAGCACCATCGACGCGAGCTGATACATAATCTTCACTGCATTGGCAACACAGCGATCGCAAGAATAGCGTCCTTAGAATATTGTAAATGAGTACGTATCGTTTACCTCCTTGTTGTAACGATCCGAACACAATGCCTCGCAGTACAAAAGTGGCATAGGCCGCGGATGTCCAGCCACACGTCGTCAACTCGCTGATATTTTTCGTTTTACGGTACGTGAGAACTTTTCTGTGTGCACAATATCTACAGTAAAAATATTCAAATACTTATAAACCGAATTTGCTGAATGTACTTGGAAGCTTCAGATTGGCGACGACTTGTCATGAGAAACAACACAATGTTTGCAGTCCAAAACTCGATTCTGCGTGTCTCGACTGAACAAGATAACCTTTGAAAGGGACAGTATTTACTCAATAGCGAGTCGTGAAGCAAGCTCTGAAATTTGCTCTATGATAGAGTTATCTCACCCCGCGGTCTAAAGTATGGTCCAGGTGTCCACTTACGTATCTCGGACACTCTTGCTGAAGGCTTCGGGTTGGATCGGCTGAGCATTGCGAGGTATAATGAGTACCGAGCTGTGATTGTTATCGTGAGTTGAAGCCACTTGCGGAGTCGCTGATCTGTTGAAGCGAAGGATGAGCGAAAAGAGAGATAACGGCCGAATGCGCCTTTGCAACAGTTGCAAAGGCAACGCAATGAAACAAAGATGGGAAAGAAGACGCGCGAGTATACACACATGTCTACGGCACACGCACAAACATTTACACACACAAAAGACGCAGCGACATGAACCCTCAGCTTATGCCCTCACAGACTCTCACGTCAGCTTTGCCGTTTCACACACGCACCGCTTGTAGACATCAAACGTCCGCAGTCTCCTCCGCGTCGTTCTCGGCCATGACCTCCGAAACCGCATATCGTACCTTGCGTGTGTCCCACCCACCCACTGTCACAAAGAGACGCACTGACTGACAAGTAGCTGCTGGTCCCACGTTGTACCCCTTCGCGTACCGCTTCGCCCTTTGCCACTCGCTCAGCTGATTACTTCTGATTACGCACTGGAACGCCACCACACACGCGCACACATAATGCCGTCGACCGGTTTCTCGGATCTCGATGACGAGCTCCTGGCGCACGTGCTCAGCTTCTCCGCAGCTCGAGACGTCGAGGCGCTCACTGTCGCGTCTGCTGTGGTCGCTCGAGACGTCTTACCGCAGTGTGCCCATATCTGGGCGCACCTCTTTCGCCGCCGCTGGGAAGCGCTCAATTACCCGCTGAGTGGCGTCGCAGGAGGCGAAGCGCTGCTCCAGTTGCACGAGAACTTGGACGCGCTGTTCCCCAGGTGCTGTACAGGATAACGGGCTCTTGGGAGCAGGTGCTGTGGCGCTGATCACGGGGATACGAAGACACTGAGCGCTGTGCGTTGTTGGGGTTGTTATTTGGTGGTACAGTTCGTGCTCAACCAGCCGCAAGTTCCAGTTGCTGGCACACGCCATTGTGCCCGTGCCTTCTTATGCTGACATACAAGAGACGCAAAGGACTGTGGGCTACATTGATGCATACCATCGGTACGTGCATGTACAGTGCATTGGCTCGAGTACAGTGCTGCCGTGACCCCTGACGGGCTTGTCCAGGATTATTGCGCTGCCGCCACGAGACTGGACGCAGCCACACACGGTCGACTTTGCACTCGATGGACAGATGCTGGGAAATGACCGGTGCGTGCGAGCAAATATGCCGTTTCTTACGACGCCCTACGTCGCAGTGTACAAGCGCTTTGTAACCGAAGAAGACAAAGCTCAAGGCCACACACGGCCCGTTTATCAAATCGGCATTGTTACTGGAGGGTACTTTGAGCTGAGCGTACGGGAGCGGCAACACCGACATGCGCGAGTTTCGTCGTTGTTCGGCCATGAACCCATGACGTCAATTGGTCTGGTCGATGCAAAGTTTCCGCTGGTGGGCAAGCAACCGGGGTGGACACGCAGATCACACGGGTACCACGGCGATGATGGTCGATACTACCACGGCACTGCATTCCAGGTACGGTGGAAATGGCTCACAGCCGTGTGCCTATGATCACGGCTTGACCTTGTGCATGAACTTGGTGGTATGTAAAGCAGGGTCAGCCTTTCGGCCCCCGTTTCAAAGCTGGACGCACTATCGGCTGCGGGATCCACACTAGTCCTACTACTGGAACGTCGTCTATATTTTTCAGCAATAATGGCGAATTGATCTCGACTGAGCATGGAGCGTATCTTGAGGGCGAGCATCGAAACTGGTACCCAGCGGTTGGACTGGACTCATACGATGCGTTGCATGTCAACTTTGGCCAAGAACCGTTTGCATACAGCGATGTTGCAGGTATGTTGTAGCAGCTTCTGTTGTGATCATGCTGTATAAGTAGACCACCAGCTCACGTTTCTTCACGACGCGCTGATTGTCGTCCAGATCAATTGTTTAACGAGTGCAACGCCATGGGAAAAGCTGTAGTGGAAAATCTGCAGTGGTATGACATTTGTGACTCGGACGGTGAGAGCACTGAAGATGGAAGAAACAGCAGCGAGGGCGATGCTGGAAATAGCGCTGGATCCGACATGTCCGACGACGACATTAGAGCGGGACTGATTGTGCGCATATTAGCAATGCGGCAAGCAGGAATGGACTTCTTTTGACGAAGTGCTCGTGATATTGACAATCGCGTCGGATCTAGCGCTGGAGCATACGTCGCACCATACTGTAGTGGCTAGTAAGTGAGTGGTCCGAGTACCAAAGAGTAGCACATGTGTAGCTTTCTTGTCTCCCACTCGCTAGAACGTGTATGAGGTATCAGCAGTCGATCATCAGCTGGCTCGCGCACATTACTGGGAACAAAACACATGATCGATGATATGTCCTCGAGCATCTCGTATCTCTCTATCGTACTGACCTGTGTGCATCTGCATCCACCTGAGGTCGACATACTTGGACTGCTTTCCACTAGATGCTGCTGAGAAGGATGACGGGCCACATAGCTCGACCTTTCCTCCATGTGGTCCTAGACCAATACCGGCTCATGACGGCGTCTACTAGATCGTTGTTGATGCACGGCGGCATTTTCGCTCGTGAAAAGCCGCAAAGTCTTGAGTGAGGATGCGCATCGTTACAAGTTTGCTGACGAACACGTCCCTACAGACTGTTTCTCGCTGGATTGGCAGGATAGACTAGGAACACGAGGCCGATTAGATCATACAACCAGGCACTCGACCATGACGGGCATTTGCTAGTGAGCTGTTCACTTCGTGTGACAAGGCGTAATGCCGGAAAGCGATGCCACCTATAGCCCGGATAGGCGATGGACACTGACTGATTGATTGCATGTTTATTCCTATAGATCACCACTTTTTCTCTCTTTTAGTGTCGAGACGATGACATGCGTCGGAGAAGACGGCTCTGAACTCGCATCGATGCACTTAATCGCTTGGCACTGCAGACGCTACTTACACATTTGCTGCTTTGCACGTGACGACAGGTTATGTTCCTATCCTGAGGCTTTGGCCCCTGTGGCGTCATCGTTGCGTCCATGTTTACATGAGGTCGCACTGGTGTTGCAGGCAGATAATGTAGCTTTGCTTTTCGACGTGGCTTCCGATCACTTGGCGCCGTCACGTGTGCTGGTTGAACCTGCGGGGCATGTGGGACACCTCATGTGCCACATTGCGTCAGAAGAAATGAATGCTGCAAAGAAGACGCGCCCCAAAGTGTTTGTTGAAGTGCTTATATGCGCTGACCCGACTGTGGATGTGCGCATGTGATGGTCTCGGCAGTCGTCGACCGCAGCGGAAAACGCGCCAGTCGTTTACATGAAGCAATGCCCACTGATGTGTACTTGACAGACACCCGACACGGAATCGCAACAACCGCTTGCGAGAGATCGGGATCGAGACGCCGAATGTATCGGCGCAGTACTACAACAACGACGTACTAAGCCGCAACTGGCTACAAAGTACGCCATGCGGTGCACGGACGCAACTGCAAAAGAAGGTCATCGACGTACGTCAACGAGTCTGCTACTGCCCACTGGCTCGTCTCCGTCGTCTGGAGCTCCGCCGCATACTGTCGCGCGCTCTGTTGGGTCTTTTTTCTCGGACGTCGTCAGGCACATTGTCATGGGGCCACTCGAGGGAACTGCCGTCCTGTCCTACTTCACAAAGCGTTGCGCGGCCTGAGGTCCTGCGGTCTTGCGTTTCGCGCAGCCTGAGGTCCTGCGGTCTTGCGTTTCGCGCAGCCTGAGGTGCAGAAAAGCAAATCCGATGATAAAAAGCACTGCGCAACTTCAAGCCGACGTTCGCTTCTGCGCCCGACTGACGACGCCCAACGACGTCACAGCCCGACCAGCTGGGGACGCTAGCCATACCAGTAGCCGTCGTGCGCAATCGATCAATGACAAAAAGCGGTGCGACAGCGTTCACGTCGGCCCCAGCGCAGCTGCCAAAGGGCGAAAAGTAGCGCTAGCACACGTCACATAGTGCAAAACGCGAGGTACGCCACACGCCCAAGCGCTGGAGATGGCCGCGCAGATCGCAGACGCCGGCGTGGCCTTGAGCCGCAACGAGGCCACACCGGCGATGTCGAAGCTGGAGACCACGCGCTTGGCGCTCGCGCAGCAGCAGAAGAAGCGCATCGACGCGGCGGTCGCGCGGGTCACGAGCAAGCGCGAGGGCAGCAAGCGGAAAGGACTGGGCGAGCGCGGGGCCGACGCGGGGCACCGCAGCAAGAAGCTCAAGACCGTCGTGGACGTGACGAGCGCTCGCGCGGCCGACCGGAAGCAGAGCTCGTTGGCGCGGCGGATGGTCGACCGCTTTGCGGCACTGCCTGAGCCCGAGCCCGAAGACGCGGCGGCGCCGGACGGCCAGGAGCCAGTCACGCGGTCGGTGGCACGTGTACATCAGTTTGTGACGTCTCCGAAGGCCGACGCGGCGGATGCGAATCAAGTGGCCGACACGCGACTGTACGTGGGGCGGAGTGGTACTTTGTTGTTGCGCGGTCGGGGGTGGAAGTGGGATGGAGGGAGGTGAAGTAGCAGCAGCAGTAGAGAAGCTGACTGGGTTTGCGTGTGATGTAGCCAGGCGACGCAACACGTGACAGCGTCTGTAGAGACGACTACAGTGGCGGTGACGGTGACGGGAAAAAAGACTGTGCAAGTGGAGACAAAAGAAGAAGAGCAAGAGGGGGAGGAGGAGGAGGAGGAGGAAGAAGAAGAAGAGACTGCCGCAGTTGAAGAAGAAGAGGACGAAGCAGAAGAAGCGCAAAAAAGTGCGTGGGATGGACCCACTTCGAATTTCCACGTCAAGCAGCTGGGCCTGGACGACAACGTCGACATTTACGCTCCCATTGCACAGCAACAAAAAGACGTGCAGCGCGTGCGCGAGCGTGTCAAGTACATGCCAAGGGTCAAGCACGTCAAGTTGCACGCGACGCCGACCGATTCGGAGGCAGACTTGGACTTTGCGCCCAACGGAGTTTGCCGTCAAGACTCTGATGCTGCGTCTGCGTCGGAAGCTACCGACAGCGAGTCGCAAGCCACTGTGGACGAGACCGAGCAGTTTGCGCACGAGACAGCGGTTCCAGCAGCTGCAGTGCACCGGACATGGAGGCAGCGGGTGTTTGTCTTCACACCGCTCTTCATCGTGGCCACTAGTGTGCTAGTGTTTGCGCTGCTCTTTGCGATTGACTGGTCACAAGAGACTCTTCAGTTCTGCGCGATGGACGCAGAGAGTGCAGCAGCAGGTACGTTTGTTGGTATTCGTTGTTGACCTGTGCACGTTGTGTGCATCGAACTGCCCTTTGTGAAGAAACGCGTGTGTTTGTGTCCGGTGCGATTGCTGGTGTAGTAGATCCTGAAGCGGTCTTTTCGTGCGCTTCGTTCGTGGAAACGCAGTCACTGATCAAACGTGTCATGCGGGAGACTGCCGACAAGGTGCAACAGACGGTGCAGGTGTATCTCGGTTAAGCTTTGCCAGTCGTGTGGATGGCGAGAGAGAGAGAGAGAGAGAGAGAGAGAGGGGGCGAGTGAGTGCGGACGCACGAGTCGTTGTTGCATTATTGTTGCTGCATACACTTTATCAATGGAGAACGTTGGCATGGACGTCACGGACGTGAAATGGTGTGCCACATGCCCCCCAAGCAGCAACGTGCTGTAGAGAACCGCCGCGAGGTACTGTAGTTCGTCGAGCGTGCCAAAAAGCCGATATTCGCAGATAATCCACCAGTCGCTCACTCGATTCAGTACACGCACGACGAGCACAGCGGTAGTCACGACTCGCGCCGGTCGGTGGGGGCCCCACCCGTCTCGTCGTCGCTCATTGGCTGAAACTACGCAGCGCCCCACCCTCACGCCCTCGTCCTCCACCCTCGACCAGCTGCATGACGACGGCGACGACGACGAACGTACTGTCGTTCGACGGCGCGCGCGAGCTCGTGACTGCGACGCGTGCGCATGAGCTCATACAGACGTACGCGCCTGCCGAGTCCTCGCAGCTCCCGCCGCCGCTGTTTACGCACATTACGCTGCGCAACAAGAGCTACACACTCGACGCCGCGCGCGTCATTGCTGCGTTTTTCCTGCGCCTCGAAGCCCGCGGCGCGTTTGCGCAGCTCACGAGTGTGGATTTGGCCGATACAATTGCTGGCCGACCGGAAGACGAAGCGCTGCAGGTGCTGGCGACGCTCTGCGACGCGTTGACGGCCGTCAAGACGCTCACGCGCATTGACTTGAGCGACAATGCGCTCGGGGAGAAGGGCGTGCGCGCGTGTTTTGGACTGCTGCAGCGCCAAGAAGAGCTGCAGCACGTGTACTTGTGCAACAACGGCCTTTCGGCCGCGGCGGCACGTGTGCTTGCGGACGACGTGCTGCTGTTTCGAGGTCCAGACACGCCCACGAAGCTCGAGAGCTTTCACTTTTACAACAACATGAGCGGCGACGGCGGTGCAGTGGCGCTGGCCAAGCTCTTGACGCTTTCACCAGCGATGAAGGACCTGCGGTTCTCCGCGACGCGGGCTCAGCGAGAAGGCAGTCTGGCGTTTGCGACGGCCTTGGCGTCGCTCACGAAGCTGGAGAAATTGGATCTGAGTGACAATACGTTCAAGGCACAAGGGGCTCGAGCTATTGCTGCTGCAGTGAGGAACATGCCATGGCTAGAGGAGGTGAACTTTCGTGACGCTGCTCTCGAAGACGCTGGCGTGGTGGCTATTGCCGACGCCCTGCGTGAAAGCGGTGCCGCCAAGAACCTGACGGCATTTGATGTGTCGGGCAACGACTTGTCTGCTGAGAGCATGCCGAGGCTGGGAGAGATGCTGCGTGTAAGCAATGCGCTGCGTGTTTTGCAAGTGGAAGAGAACGAGATTGGATCAAAGGGTGCTAAAGCCATTGCGAAGGCGTTGATGGTCGGATCACCGGTGCTGGAAAAGGTGGTTGCTAACGTGAACGAGATTGGTGCTTCTGGTGCGCTCGCTCTTGTCAAGTCTGTGCTTGACAAGAAGGTGTTTGCAAAGCTGAGTATTGACGGGAACCAGATTTCGGCCGAGGGTGTGGCTAGTATTGAGTCGCTGCTAGCGAGTATGAACAAGGGCACAATGTTGGGGTCGCTAGAAGACAACGACGAGGACGAAGAGGAAGGTCATGACGACGAGGAAGAGGTAGACGATGAAGCTAGCTCCTTGAATGACGTGACGGCCATGCTTGACAAAAAGCTGACGATTTCGTCAGAAGCGAGTTTCAAGTTTGAGAACAAGAACCGCGAAGTCGTGGACGCTGCACGTGCTCAGCAGCTCTTGGAGGCTGCTGGCATTGCACTGAATGATCGGTCTCCTCTGCACTTCAAGTCGATCTCTCTACGCGGCAAGAGCTACACCGACTCGGGCGCGCAAGTCATCGCGGATACGTTCTTGTCGCGTCTCCAGAGCGATCTCAAGGTTGTCGATCTAGCCGATGTGATCGCTGGGCGGCCCGAAGACGAGGCGCTTCGAGCTTTGTCGATTATGTGCCGCGCACTTCGCGGTCACATGCTGGATGAGATTGATCTGAGCGACAACGCGCTTGGTGAGAAGGGCGTGCGTGCTTGCTTTGATCTGCTGATCCCTCAGCCGGCGCTCCACCGTCTCCTTTTCTGCAACAATGGTATCTCGGCCGCTGCTGCCAGCTTGATTGCGCAGGAGATCGTGCTACAGAACGGCAAGGAGACTCAGTCTTCGCTGCAGGAGTTTCATTTTTACAACAACATGAGTGGCCACGACGGCTGTGTGGCAGTAGCCAGCGTCCTCGCGTACTGCAAAAAGTTGACGCTATTGCGTTACGCAAGCGCGCGTGCTGGCTCGGAGGCAAGTGAACACATGGCTCGTGGCGTGAAGGATCACTTGCGCGACTTGAGATCACTGGACCTGAGCGACTGCTCGTTTGAGTGCGATGGCGCCACTCATCTTGCAGAGGCGATCAGCAAGCAACCGGGTTTGCAGTACCTGAAGCTGCGCGATGCTTCGCTCTGCAGTGAAGGTGCTGCGAAAGTGGCAAAAGCGCTGTCAAGTAGCAAGATCCAGCTACTGGAGCTCGATTTGTCCGGCAATGAGCTAGCAGACGAAGGTATCGCGACTCTTGCGCCACTGCTGAAAGGCCAGTCGCAGCTCAAGGTTCTGCGACTGGACGAAAACGAGGTAACGTCTGAAGGACTGAAGAAGTTTGTGGCGGCTCTCGGCACTGGCAGTTTGTCATCGCTCGAGGAGCTGTCGCTGTGCGGGAACGAGATCACTGCAAAGGGAGCTATGGCCGTCGTGGATGCGTTCGTGCCGGCCACGCCGACGCTTGTGCGACTGGAGCTCGACACCAACATGATCTCCGAGAAGGGCGTCGAGTACATGAAGGCTTCGCTCGCCAAGCAAGGCAAGGCCGAGATCCTGGGCTTGCTGGACGACAATGACGGTGGCGACGAGAGTGACGAGGAGTGAGAGAGGGAGACAAGTGGTCATGTCGATGGTATGCTGCCGTATGCTGCTGCTGTACACTCTGTGCTTAAACGACTGGATGGTCTCCTGCTCTCTCGATTCACTGTGTCAGGCAGAACTAATTATTGTCTGTCATCGTGCAATGCCCTATTTGCAGCTAGTCGCAGATGCCCGTGGCTGCATTGAAGTAGACCCTACGACCGTATTCGGCAATCTCCTCAGTGCCATTGCGACTTTCCAGTGCCATTATCTGCACGGATGAACAAGCCCCACGTTTGCGGATAAAGACCGTTAAGGCCGACTTAAAAAGCGTTGGTGCCATCATCACCTGTTGCTATAAACTGCTTTTCTCACAACGCGAGTTCATGTTTAGCAATGTCTAGATCACAAAAAAAGATCGAAAGGGTCAGCTGACCTTCTTCTTTCATGATTCAGCGACGTGAATAAAGCACGTTATTCCATTCCAGACACCCGGAGCACGGAATCTCTATCATACAGCAGCCGGCTTTATCGTAACAACGGAACGAGACTTTCCCGTATCAACTTTGCCGCTCGTCATGACCGACACGACATCTGATCCGGCGGCGCCTCTGGTCGTGCACTCGCTGCCGTCGCTGAACCCGCCGCTGTTCTTCGAGATCGTCGAGCATCAGGTCTACCGGTCGAACAAGTGCGACGCGTCTTCGTTCCCGTTCCTGGCCACGCTGCGGCTCAATACGGTCGTGTACCTCTCGTACGACGACCTCTCGCACGACTTGGCTGCGTTTTGCACCGAGAAGGACATTACAGTGGTGCGTGTCGCTGCTCAATCGATCGATAGAGCAGGTGTATACATGTATTGGTATATGTGCATATGTGTATACATATATGTCTGTTCACATGCATCGGTATATGTGTATACTCGATCGTGGTCGCGTCTCTCAGTCGCTCTGGTGTTTTCTTTCTGTGTGTCGTTCTTTGTGTACGGTGGACAGATTCATCTCGGGATGAAATACCGCACGGTGTCGTCGCAGTGGAAAGGGATTTCGGAAGGAATGGCCAAAGAAACGGTCGAGTGTATCTTGGACCAGAGACGGCATCCGATTCTGGTCATGTGCAAGTACGCGCGACGAGCGTGGGATAGCGAGTCGAGGAGACTGACAAAAAATGCTCATGTTGTGTTTGGATGATGCGGATGTGTGGGTGTGTGGGTGCGTGCGTGTGTGCGTGCAGAACAGGAGTGCACTTTGCGGGGACCATGATTGGCTGTCTACGACGACTTCAGAATTGGAGCTTGACGTCGACTATTGACAAGGTGGGTCCAGGCACGATAGCCTCCGTCTGTGCTTGCAGTCGTGTTGTGTGTGGCACTGACGGACCAAAGTGAGCAGTATCGGAACATTGCTGGCAGTGTCAAGACGCGATTTGAGAACGAACAGTTTATCGAGTTGTTTGACGTGGACTTGGTCACGCTGCCGCAGCAGCTGCCGTCCTGGTTCATGGTCCACCAGCGCCTCATGGTACGACTCGTTGTGCGGTTGCGCTTGTTTACGCTTGACAATATGCTTGTGCTCACTTTGTTTGGCTGCAACGTGCCAGGAAGAGGAGCGTATTGCACTGACAAAAGGCGAGTTTTTCCCAGGACGAAGTCGTGACAGAGACGATCCATCAAAAAAGAAAAGCTCGCTGCTCGACGGAGCTGCAGATGGAAATGGCCACTTAGAGGCACACGACTCGGTCTCTTCACAAACGCCGACAGATCCAGCAGTTCCAGCGTATCAGAAGTACTACTTCTATCTGCAAGGTCCGCTCGTGTCTCCGTCCGTAAAGTTCTCGGAGAAGAAGAGCATCATCGGCGATGATGATGACGACTGAAGTGGAAGTAGACGCTGTGTGAACGGACACCCGAGTGTATTAACGACCACCGCCATCACAAGCCGATGGAAAGTGAATGGCGATACTGATGAAATGCGACAGAGCCAAGAGCAGTGGCCTCGACGCTTGCCTAAGTCAGGTCTTGTGCCGCATCGCCCTCGCCCATAATGCCCTCCTTGATGCGCAGCAACAGCGTGATCTTCCACGGCTCGATTTTCGAAATCGAGTCGTACTGGAAGACCGCATCCGCAAACGCGTCGGCATTGAACGCCTCGTAGCTCTTGTTCATCTGCTGCAGAAATTTGCCCTCGCGACTGTCAGCGAACGTGTAATCGATGTCCTGGAACTCGTCCCATTTCATCTGTACCAGCACCATGTCCTTCGTCGCAAGCGCGCAGATGCCAGCATTCAGCAGGTGGCTCTTGGCGTTGAATTTGAGCAGGTTTGACTCCATGGACGACCTCGCAATGGTCTCGTAGATTTCAAGCGCCGCGTCGAACCTGGATGATAAACAACAGCGAGTGAGGCAGCTTTCGTCAACAACATCCCTAGACCATCACCACCATCGTCCCCCACTCACTTTTCCAGCTCGGCCGAAAACTGCGCCACCTTCAGCAGCATGTTGTTGGCCGAGGACGACTGGTTCTCGCCAGCAAAGTAGTCAGCAGCCTGGCGATAGGCTTCCAACGCCTCTTCCTTGTTGTTCTGTTGCTCGTAGAGCTCGCCAACCTGCTTCTGTAGCTTGGCGGCGTTCGAGAACCGACCAGCGTCGCACAGCATCGAGATGGCCGTCTTGTAGTGCACCATCGCATCTACCACACCACAGAATCACAGCCGCGTACCCACCACCACCATCAGCGTCGCTCCACTTGTTCCAGTGCACAACAAAGCAAAAGCCCCACCCATTGGATTCACTTTGCCCAGTGCTTCGGCCGCTTGCTGGTAAAACTGCGCAGCACGCGCGTTTTCCTTCATCCGGGTCTACATACAGCACAAGAAAACGAAATCGTCCATCGATACCCAGTACCCGAAACGTCAGTATGTCCTTCCAGTGTCAACCATTGCAATCGGTCTGGAGCTCACTCACTTGGCAGCGCGCACATCGCTCGTACGCTTCCCCGGCCTTCTGCCCTGTCACGAAATTGCAATGCAAAAGCAGCATACAGTCAATCCCACTGTTGACATGTGCACGAGCCGCTCGTCCAGCAAAAGAGCGCGAGTCGAGGGGGGTACAGTTCTTGGCGATCTTGAACTGGTTGCCCGCCTTCTCGAACAAGTCACAGGCGTCTTCGCTGCGCTGCGAGCTCGAGCCAAACGAGAAGAACGACGTCTTCTTCAGCGCCTTCTCGCCTTGGGCCAAGAAGCCGTTGGCTTTGTCTTCGGCGGTCATTGCGCGCACCAATGAGACGGCGAGCGACGAACAGGTGACGCGTTGTGGACGAGACGGGTGAGACGTTCTTTCTCGCTCTTTGTTTTTTTTCTCGTCGAAACAATTTGTGATCAGCCGAAATGAGCTGTTGGCATTGATTTCTGGCAGACGAATAAATGCGTATGACTTAGAACTGGACTTGAATTAGAAATTAGGATGCGCCCGAGATTTAGGGACGACGATGAGGATGATAGAGGAGGAGAAAGAGGACGCAAACGAATAGATGTGCGGCGCTATCGCTTGCCGTATAGACGGCGCGCGAAGTAGCTGGTTTGTCGCGTGGTTATCGAAGCGATGGATACGTGGAGTGGAGACGCGTTGACGTTCCGACACAAACTAGTGCAGTCGTTGGCGGCACATCTGCATTCGACAGGAAATTCGTCCACACTCGTTCGTGTGCATGCAGCGGGTGCTTGGAATTCGGAGTTTGCGTCAAAATCGTGAGCGCGTGTGCACTGTCCTTCTCCAGACAAGCGCTTACTATCCCCATTCGTCAACTGGTAAAGCCACGTACTTGGACGCGTCACACGGGGTACGCCCATTGAACAATCAGCGATGTCCTGGAGCTACAGCATTGGCATACAGGCGGTAGCAGCACGCAGACGAGATGCTTTGCGTCTGGCCTCGTGTCCACATATCTACCGTTGCGAGACGCAATGATTGCTAAGCTCGCAGTAGTACATTAGGACTGTCTTCTTCGACTGCGATCCGTCTTTGGCGGTCGTATCGATTGTTGAGAGCATGTTTGGAGTGTCCCGATTAGCTGCGCGTACGTGAACTCGGCACACTGCTTGTCGACAACATTTGGCACGTCATCAGCGACTGGTGATACCGCCGTAATCATTACGACATCATCAAAGTCACGTCTGCACTAATTCATTCGCAAAAGCTGCAACCCTTCGTGTATCTTCGACCTCGCTCATGACAGGTCAGTGTGTCTTTGTGGACGCAGTACATGAGCGTCCAGTGCTCCATCTCCCTCGCTGGTATCTTCTCGAACAGATCTTCTTCGGTCAACGTTCTGCAGATTGATTCGAAAGATAGCAGTCTCACTGTATCTCCGGACTGTAACTAGCCACTCGTGCACGACTCTGTCCAAGACCGGAGAAACAAACGGTGACTAGCCACCGATGGAACCACGAGAGAGAGAGAGAGTGTGCAGTTCTTCACGTGTCACACGTTCGTAGCTTGTTACAATGTTGAGCGAGTGCGTAGCTGCTGACTGACGGCACCGACCGCCCGTTACTTCTCGTTGCACGAAAGGCACGTCACATTGTTTCTAGCTTGACATGATACGCGACCTACGCGCTGGTGTGGGGCCATACTGTACTCGATCCACATGATGATGATGATGATGATGATGCTGTCTTCCCATTCGACGAGTACAGCTCGTGGACTCGACGACGCTCTGTAAGTAACCAACAGAGGTCTACTGCACCTCGTCGCCCTACCACTGCTGACTCACTGTCAATAGAGCTTTTTTGCAAGTGCCTCACGTCCAGCGCCATCCTAACAATGATCCGCATGGGCGCTACCAGGTGCAGAAAAACAAATCGCCACGTCCTCATGAGTCGAACCTGCCTACGACAAGCGGCAAAGGTTCGGCAAAGTGCTGTCAATGTGTCAATCGATGGCAGTGCCATTGCATTCGTCCCGAAAAGTTCCGTCTGGACGGACGGACGCACGCACACACACAAACACAGGCAAATACACTCGCAAAGAAAGACCTACGAGCGTTTCGTGGCGTGCGACATGTACCGGAAAGTTAAATCTGCCCCGACACGTCGGCCACTGGCGCGTTGTTGAAGTTGCCGTCGGCCACTGACCCGTCGACTCGGCCGCCAGTGCCACGCGCGACCCAATTGGTCGGGTCACGACGACGCGCCAGAGCCGTTCCGTTCCGCCACGAAAAGGGAACAAAAGCGCGCGCGCGCGCGAGAGAGAGAGAGAGAGCGGGCGAACCGTTCAGTGCCGCCACGCGACCAACGCATCCGTCCGGTCGTCACGGCATCTTGTCACGGGCGACACGTTCCTCGCCCTCCTCTTGTCCTTCTCTGCGCTTCGAAAGCGGTCGTTCAGTTTCGCATCGAAGCGGTCGTGCGCGCGTGTCTCGACGAGTCACTTTTGTCCCGCCAACGTGCGCGCTGCGTCTCGCTCTCGCTCTCTCTCTCTCTCTCTCTCTCTCTCTCTCTCTCTCCGTCTCAATGACAATTCCGAGTTCAGCTGCGTCAATCGATGCGCCAAACGAGCCGTGCGTCCTGTCGGCCACCGAGCGCGCGCGCCTCACGACCATGGCCACCCGCATGACCGAGACGCTCCTGCAAGCCACCGACCTCCTCGGCACCACCTCCTGGACGCAAGTGCACGCGAAACACGGCATCGCGCTCTTCCAAGCCCAAGCCCAACCTCCCGCCCAACACGACAGCAGCAGCAGCAGTCAAACCCGCAGCAGGAGCCCGAGTCAAAGTAGCGCTAGCAAAAGTAGCAGCAGCGCTAGCAAAAGTAACCCGAGCGCCCCCCGCCCCCTGCCGTGCAACGTGCACGCCGTGTGCAAGTTCGCGAGCGACATCCGCGACGTGGCCGCGTCGCTCGTGACGGCCACGACGCCGGCGTTCAAGCGCATGATGGCGACGCTGTCCTCGGACTTTGTCGACGGCGCCGTCGTGCAGACGATCGTCGCGCCGTCCGCGCTGCACCCGCACCGCTACGTCGGCCTCAAGTGGGCCGCGTTCAAGCGCGCGAGTGCGTTCGCCAAGGACCGCGACCTGTTCCTGCTCGAGTACGTCGACCTGCTTGAAGACGCACAGGGCCACTTGACGGCGCTGCGCGTGCTGCAGTCGGTCGAGTGCCCGCCACCAGTGGCAGCTGCGTACGCCGCGTCGCCCCAGCGGACGCGCGAGCTCGTGCCGCTCATGGGGTTCCTCTACCACTCGACGCCGCGGACGCGCGAGCTCCGCCTCACGTACACGTGCACTGTCGACACGCCACGCGACGTGGCGGCCATCCAGACGCACGTCGAGAAGTGCATTCGCGGCATTGCCCGCTACACGGAGAACTTTCGCGTGGCCCGCGAAGCGCTCGTGCTGCCGCAGCAGGTCGTGCCCATGAGCGAGCGCGACCGCTGCCGCACGTGCCGCGCCAAGTTTGGCCTCTGTCGCCGCCGCTACAACTGCCTCAAGTGCGGCGACGTCTGCTGCAGCTCGTGCAGCGCCGTGCGGGCCGTGCACGTGCCGACCATTGGCACGCGCGAGCTGCGCGTCTGCACGGCGTGTGTGGTGGAAGCGCGTCACGCGGCGCGGGACGTTGCAGTGGGGGGAGCGAAGGAGCAGTGACGCCGGCGGTCGGTCGGACAAGCGGCCGCAGTCGGGCGCAGAGCTTTTCAGTTGCGACTGAAGGGGACAAGGATATTGACGGGGAGGAGGAGGACGACGACGACGTATTGCGGGGACGCCAGTCGTGCGACACGCTGCTGGACCCCGTGCGGTCTCGACTCATTGAGTACAAGACGTTCTCGTCGGCGGGAAGCGAAGACGGCTCGATGCTGTGCAGTGGCGTTCGTGTGTCCAAGACGAGGTTCCCGACGCGTTCGTTCAGCGACGGCCTCGTCCGACGCAACAAGGCGCTGTTTGCACCCAAGCGCCGAGGTAGTCCTGCCGACTTGGCCATCTCGATCGAAGCGTTTCGACTGTACCAGCAGCGCATGGGCACAACGGCTGCTGCTGCTCGCCGTGGCGAAGACGGATCGGAGGAGCACGACAATACGGACAACGAGTCGACGACGTCGTCGTCGTCCATGTCGCCTACTGCGCAGTCGTCCGTGAAGTCTTTGACGTTGCACGACCGCTCGCCTGGGAAGAGCAGCACGAGTCTGCACTCGGGTCGTTCACGTCTGCGAAGGAGCCGCGAAGCTCGAGGAAGCGATGAGCCAAAGCTCGAGCTGAATGAGGCGACAGGCCGGTCCAAGAACATTATCTCTGCCACGAGCAGCTTGGTGCAGCAAGCGCGAAAGCTGTCGCACCACCGCATATTGGCGTTGCAGCAGGAGCACGAGTTCATGGCACCGATGCTGCGCAGTACGGGTGAGACCAGCAGCCATTCTGGTCTGGACGCGCGCCGACGATGTCGCAATAGCTCCCAGGGCAGCGACGTCGATGTAACGCCGACGTCGGGCTCTGGAGCAGTGCTGTATTCGAGCTGAGACGTCACGTGCGCTGGCTAGCAGCCGGTCGGGAATACATGACGACAGAGTGGGGTTGCAGGCTGGAAAACGACGTTGAAGAGGAACGAGCGGGTCGCGGCCGAGTGCAGACGTTCGTGAGTGTGTCGCAGCTACGCGGCCGATCGAGTGTAGACGTGCGTGAGTGCTTGTGAGGACGAGAAGCATGGGCGATGGAGATGTGGAGAGGTTGCATTGCTCTGCGAGCAGCAGACATGGCTTCAATATGGGGATCGAGCACCTTATTTATTGTGTGTAGAGTACCGCGGGCGAACCAGTCCGTCAAGCAAATGTGTGGATGTGTCGGATATATCACGTACGCGAAGGACAAAGTGGCCGTAACGCATTTGCGGAAGACCACAATTAACGTCATAACGCTTGCGTCTGTGTACACGAGTTGCGGTATCCGATAACGAGACCGTGTTGTCAATAACAAAGCTTGGACTTGGTGTATCATATGCACGTGCCGATTGCAACGATACAGAGAATAACATGCAACAACAGGTCGCCCGTGATGCATATTCAGGTGAAGGAGCTAGAAAATGCTACAGGGCCATACACGCCACTGGTAATGCAGCGGATGACGTTTGTCGAGAATGATAGGAGCGGTTGATCTGGCAGACGCGAACCATATGATCGTGGATCGACATTCAGTCGTCAGCAGTGAGGAGCGTGCGGTCATCTGAGGGTGACAATGTCAGTCACTGGTGTCGAGCGGTAAACGGCTATCAACGAAGGCGGCGGCAAAGTAGATGTGATCGCACAGAGCGGTTTCAAATATCCAGCTGCGTTGGCAAAGCTTACAAGCCTATTCCCAGAGCTTCTGCAACGCCAACCGGTTCTAATGCGCTCCGTGACGGCCATGCTGACAGCGAGCAGTTGTAAGGCCCACGACAGCAAGGGCCGCCTATTCTCCTTCCTCTCCGACGTAAACGGCGCGACTCCTGACGCGGTACGGCCCTCCCTCTTGCCTTCGTCGCCTACAGACGCTTGCCGTTGTATAAACTCTTCGTATAGTCGGGGAAACGGATGAACGGCGGGTACTCGTTGTTGCCCTTTTCGTCCGCGTACACGCCCACGAAGGCTGAAGCCTCGTCCGGCTTGTCAGAAGCCTTGGCTTCCTTCGTGGCCTTCACGACCTCAGCGCGCACCTTCTTCTCGAGCTCCTTGATCTCATCTGCCGTAGCAAGCTCGGCCTCGATCATGCGCTTCTTCACCAGCTCAATGGGATCGCGCGATGCACGCATCTGCGAGATCTCGTCGCGATTGCGGTACGTCACGCCAGGGTCCGACATGGAGTGCCCGTGGTAGCGGTACGTGTTCATCTCGACAAAGATAGGACCCTTGCCCTCGCCGCACCACGTCTTCAGAAACTTCGTGCACTCACGGACAGCCAGCACGTCATTGCCATCGCACTTGATGCCAGGGATCTTGTTACCATAGGTGTAATAGTCCGTGTTGTTCGACGAGCGCTGCGTCGACGTACCCATGCCGTACTGGTTGTTCTCAATGCAGAAGATAGCCGGCAGTTTCCAGAGAGCAGCCATGTTTGCAGCTTCAAACACCTGACCTTGATTGGCGGCACCGTCACCAAACATTGTGATAGCGCAGGGCATAAGGCCTTCGCCATTGTGGTTGTACTTGCTGGCAAAGGCAAGACCTGCGCCCACCGGTACCTGTGCACCAACGATTCCCTGTCCACCGTAAAAGTTGTGCTTCTTCTTGTAAAAGTGCATCGAGCCACCTTTGCCTCCCGTAGCGCCGTCCTTCTTGCCAAAGAGCTCGGCCAAGACGTCCTTGACTTCAGCGCCCCGGGCGAGCATGATGCAGTGGTTACGGTACGAAGTAATCCACGAGTCCGAGCGGTCCAGCGCAGCTTCCACGCCCGTGGCCACGGCTTCCTGGCCGTCGTACAAGTGACAGAAGCCACGAATGTTACGGGCCTTGTACTCGTTGTCGTTTGTGATCTCCATGCGTCGCATCGTGTACATCAGCTCGTAGTAGCCCAGCATCTCCTCTCGGTTCGTTACTGCTACTTCACTCGGTCCCTCCTCGAGACCTGTGGTTAGACATAGAAACAAACACAACACGCAGCATGAGGTTTTTTCGTCCACACGAGGTTTATCGGCCCCGACCAGCCACAGGCTCGAGCAAATGTTTACGGTGCAGCATGTAGGGGTCTGCGAGATCAAACGTGACGTCGCCCGAGGCGTTCGCAGCAGCGCTGAACGCGCGTGCAACGGGTGCGGCGCGGTGCGCCAGCGCGGCAGTCGAGCGGCGGAGCAGCATCATTCTCGCTCGAGCTGGACCCTACGCCTTCGTATTCGATCCGAATTGTGCGGTGGGTGCGCCGCGAGCAGCTCGGCTCTCCGTTAAGTACGAAAACGCGGCGTCTCGACCAATGATGTCAAGACATTGGACGGCACGTCGTGGATTGGCCAGAAGAAAACACGCACGTGCAACAACGACCCAAACACATTCGCAACGCGATGCGCGATCGTCCACCTTCGGCTCACATCCACCCCGGTCCACCGTCAGGGGTGGGGGAACCCTATCGCCGGAAAATCGATTTTCATCCAATCCGTAACGTGCATCAACTTGGACGTCCTCGTCCGCTGCAAGTGGGCCTCGACCTCGCGGACTTGGACGAGCGATTAGTCTACGTGCGCCTCAGTCGCGATGGCCGTCAAGCGCAAGGCCGACGACGTGGCGTCTGCTGCGTCTGCTGCGTCTACACTGGTCGCCAAGCGCCGCAAGTGTCCGTACCTGGACACGATCAGCCACCAGCTGCTGGACTTTGACTTTGAGAAAGTATGCGCCATCAGTTTGTCCGACCAGAACGTCTACGCGTGCCTCGTGTGCGGCAAGTACTTCCAAGGGCGTGGCCGCAACACGCACGCGTTCACGCACTCGGTCCAGAGCAGCCACCACGTGTTCATCAACCTCGAGACCGATCGGGTCTACTGCCTGCCGGACAACTACGAGGTCGTGGACCACACGCTCAAGTCGGTGCAGAACGCTCTGCGCCCGACGTTCGACGTTGACGCCATTGCGCGACTGGACGCGAACCGCATCTTGGCGCAAGACGCGTTTGGCGTCGCGTACCTCCCTGGATTCATTGGACTGAACAACCTCAAGCACACAGACTATATCAACGTTGTGGTCCAGGCGCTGGCGCACGTGCCGCCGCTTCGCGACTTTTTTCTGGCCAATAAGATTGAGAAACCCAAGTCGAAGCTCGTGTTGCGGTTCGGAGAGCTCATGCGCAAGATGTGGAGCCCGCACAACTTTAAGAACACGGTTTGTTGTGTGCCGTGACGGGCGAGATGCGCTGGATTCGGTTGTAGTGGCTGCTGATCGAAGCTCTTGCTTGTCTTGTGTGCGCGTCTGCGTTGCAGATTAGTCCCCACGAACTCGTGCAGGAGATCTCAGTGAGTAGCAAGAAGCGCTTCCACGTTGGAACGCAGAATGAAAGTGTCGAGCTATTGGCGTGGCTGCTCAACCAGTTGCACAGGGTATGCAGAAGAAGAAGGCTAGCGCTTGTGTGTTGCGAACGCTAAGATTGATGTGGTGTGCTGCTGCTGTAGGGGCTTGGTGGATCGAGCAAACCGGGAAGTAGCATCATTCACAAATGTTTCCAGGGGTTCGTCGAGGTGACAACGGACGATGAAACGAAAGCTGCGTCAGCGGATGTTGCAGAGCGTCAATCAGCTATCTCTACGACGGTTTCGCCGTTCTTGTACGCCGCTAGCACGTATCGCTCGTTTTTTTGTGCGCAACACTGATCGGAAACGCTGTGATGTAGGATGATGGCGCTGGATCTGCCGTCGACACCCCTGTTCAAGGATTCTCAAGGTGGAAATGTCATTCCTCAGGTATGTGCAGACGAACAGGCACCATATTGGATAAATCAGAACGTCAGGCTGACGTTCACGTCGCTTGTCGATGCAGATTCCACTATTTACAGTGCTTGAAAAGTACAACGGATCCCACGTTACACACGTGCTTCACGACTCTCATCGACTCAAGAAGACCTACCGGATTGATTCGCTGCCAGCCTACCTGATATTCCACGTGAAGCGTTTCACGCGAAACAATTTCTTCATCGAAAAGAACCCGACGATTGTAAACTTTCCTGTCAAGAACCTCGAGTTGCGCGAGTACCTAAAACTAGACCACAAGCTCTTGCCAGAGGAAGAGCTTCGGACAAAGTCGGTATCTGAGCTGCAGACACTGTTGCGCGATCGAAGCATATCCACTGAGGTGCGACTATCTTTTTGTCATTCCGGCGCACTAGAGGTTGCAGTGAGTGACTTATCGGTATATTGTTGCCGTGGCAGGATTGCGTCGAAAAGGCTGACATGATTGAGAAGCTTTTGTGCACTGCGCTGCCATCAACAAAGTACGTGCTGTTGTTTCCGAGCTGCAGTGCCCGAAGCCCCAGGGTCATTTTGTTATTGCAACGCGTGCCTGTCATCAGGTACAATTTGATCGCCAATATCTGCCACGATAGCCCAGTGGCAACCGGTCAAGAGGCTGCGCTGAAGACGAATCCGTTGACAGAGGGGAGCTATCGCGTTCACGTCCAAAATAGAGTACGCAGTCTGCAGTGCTGTACACGAGGTCGACGACGTCAGACTAATCCGTGTTGATGCGCTTATTTGTAACAGGCGACTGAGCAGTGGTACGAAATTCAAGATCTGCATGTTCAGGAAACGATGCCGCAGCTTATTGGTGTGTCCGAGTCGTACTTGATGATATACGAGCGAAAAACGTAACTGCGGTGGACAATCTAGCTGTGGCAAACGCGTTTGTCATACTGCAGACACTCCGTACTGTTCATTCCATGCAACAAGAGCCTCTATCGTCGTCGCCGACACGCTTGGGCGTACTCGCTCAAGAGCCACCTGAAAGTCCGACGCGTTGATACCTCGCACGTCTTCGACTTTCACACTCGCGACTTTTGCGCCGAGCTCACGGATTGGACCGAGAGCCGCGTCTTTGCACACAGCCTTGAGATCACTGCCGGAATAGCCCTCGGTTGACTTCACTATGTGCTTGATCTCCCTGGACGACAAGGAAAATTTGTGGCTGCCTTGTAGTAGATGCCGGAAAAGCCCTTCACGAGATGAAGCATCTGGAAGAGGCACTACCAACAACAACCACATCCAAAGTCAAAAAAACACACACGATCTGTCTTTCGGTAACCAACTGCTTACCGTAAATGCGCTTCTCTAAGCGTCGTATGATGGCCTCATCCAGCTCCTGGGGGAGGTTCGTAGCACCCATGACAAGAACCCGGTCTTCCTGTGATGATGCCGCTCCGTCTAATTCCGTGAAAAACTACAAGACGTTCAGCTCGCATTGCAACCAGCAAATCAAGCGCACCACTTCGTCACACATACCTGGTTTTTGATCCTTCGACTTGCGTCATTCTCAGATGCCGATCTTGCCGCCAACAAAGCGTCGATCTCATCCATAAACACCACAGACGGCTGAAGCTCTCGCGCCATCTCGAAAAGCGCTCGGACCAACTTCTCGCCTTCACCTACCCACTTGGACGTCAAAGACGACGCAGAGATACTGCATCAAACAGTCGTCAGCAAAGCACTCTATCACATATCAAGCACAAACCGGCCGCATCATCGCATGCACGGACTTGAAGAAAGTTGCGTTTGCTTCCGTCGCGACAGCTTTCGCCAACAAAGTTTTCCCTAGCGCAGCACCAGGCAAGAAAACATCATCAGCTGTGCGAGCTCAATCGACGTGTACGATGCAAATAGTGCAGGCGTATACACCTTCTCACCCGTTCCCGGTGGACCAAACAAAAGCACCCCGCGAGGTGGGGCCCGCAAGCCCGTAAACAAGTCTGGACGCAATGTGGGTAGTATGACAGCTTCCTGAATGTAGGCAGCACATCGAACCGTCAGTCACGTAGCTCGTCTAGTGAACACTGCCACCCCCTCCCACATCGCGAAGACCCATGGACACGTCCAATACCTGCAAGATCTGCTTTGCAACGCTCAATCCTGCAATGTCCGTCCATCGCACCCCCGGTGAGCGGTCTAGCACCTCGTCCAAGATAGCATGAGCATGTGCTGTGTGCTTCTTTGTGTACTCGGCTCTTTGTATCTGGCAAGTCAACAAGTCAACACCTTCCAACCCATCTTTGTGCGACAAAGCAGCAAACCATTCTCAACCTGTTGACCATTTGCACTGCGATCGGCAGGTTTTTGCATACCACCAGGTACGGTCAATTTCTACAAATGCACCGCAAACGATCATTCCACGCGCTCGACATTTCACGAGCGTGCCACCTCGTTTTCTCGGTACAAAAAGTCCTGTCGCTCAGCAACGCACCGGCGTCTGCTTCAGAGTGTGCTGCTCTACCATCTGATACTTCAGGTACTCGGCTCTCAACATGTACTCATTGATCTTGTGCCTCAACTGCGTCCTGGACGCATCGTCCGGTAGCTCTGCACACCATACAAAGACTCAGCCAACCCAACCAAAAGCTTCGGTGCACACATACACACAGACACATCTACCGCATCAACGTACGCGAGAACTGCACCATCATCTTCTCAATACCGGCAGCGTATAGTCCCACTGCCTCCTCGTACTTCTCTGCCTTATCGGCCGCCACTGCCGCCTCCATCGCCTGCTGGATGCCATCCTCCGGGCGACGAGAGCGCCAGAGGAACATGGTTATCAGATCAGTGAAGAAGGGTGCACGAAGGGAGGGGTTTTATCCAATCATCGGTGTTCATTTTGTCTTCCTTTTATCCTGTCGGTGTCGAGCAGGCGACAAATTATGGCCAATCATCGTCGTACACAGCCATTTCGACAGAATCGCAAGTGTTGAGCATGTGGCGAACAGCTATCGCGCAGATGGCGCGCGTGATGGCGCCGGTCCGTTGCTCTGGAGCTCGCTTTGCTTCCATCAATGGTACGATCTAGTCACTAAGATCAATAGGTGTGATACTGCGCTGGAATCGCTGTCGCATGCATTGAATTGGCTGTGATATGCTCGTTTGAACAGGCAATCAGGTCCGCACAGGTATGGCCCTCGAGATCGACGGCGTCATTTATCGCGTTGGCAAGAACCAGCACGTGAAACCAGGCAAGGGTGGCGCGTATGTGCAGGTACGTTTGATCACGGCCATATGCTGTGAGGATTTGTGCTTTGGGGCATGTGAGATGGCTTGGGAATGCAGTGTCCTCTAATCAACGACGTTGTTGCAGGTTGAGTTGAAGGAGATCAAGAGTGGAGCCAAAGTGAACCGTCGCTTTCGAGCTGCGGAGACCGTGACTAAAGCACCGCTGGGACCGGACGAGCAGTTCCAGTTCCTGTACTTTAACGGGGACCACCTCGTCATCATGCACAACACGACGTTCGATCAGGTGCGTTGCGGGTCGTTGAAGCTGCCGAGTCGACATGGAGTCAATGGTGTACTGCGTTGCTTGCTGTGTTTGTGCGTAGATGGAGATTGAGCGCAGTCTTTTCTCGGGTCGCCAACTCGAGTTTCTGCAGGAGGGCATGACGCTGTCGTTGCAGATCATTGAGAGCGACGTGCTGTGGGCAAACATGCCAGAGTACGTGACGCTCGAAGTGACGGTACGTGCAGCTTGCAAACACCCACGGCCTTGTGTATCGTAGTCTCTGACGTCGTTTCGTGTCCGGGTCGTCTGTTTCGGTTGATTGTGCTGGTAGAAAACCACCCCGAAAGGTGTGGCAGACACGGTGCTGAGCGTAAAGGACGCGACGCTGGAGAACGGTGCTGTTGTGAAGGTGCCACTGTTCATCGAGATCGGCAATAAGGTCAAGGTGACCACAGACGACGGGTCGTACGTCGACAAATTGTAGAGCCGCTTTGCCTGCGTATCTCAGTATCGCCTGTCGACTTGGCAGCGCAACCGCGACTTTGAGCAGAAGCGATGCAGCTACGCAGCACAACACGGAAAAGTGATGTAAGCGTTTGACCGTTATCGACCCTTCACTGCCACTTTCTGTCGACAGCGTCATGCCGATGGCTAGTCGTAAGCCGACTAGCCAGCGCTACGACGGCGCCACTGTGCCGCAACAGGCGCCATACATTGGTAGTATCTGTGCTCATCACAGCTGCTGCAGAAAGAGACGTAGGTGCGGTAGACACGAGCACTCCCAGCTGAGATCAATTGGGGGTCATGAAACACCCGTCCGTGGCTGACAGCACGTCCAGATTCGAGCACGAGTGGGTACTTACAAGTGCTTCTCATTCCAAAGAGCTTCAAAGTCCGATGCTTGTCAATATGGCTTCACGATCATTCGTACTTAATGTGCGTATCCTCGAAAAGTATCCTACGCACATCACTTTTGCTTTTGCGAGAAGTACCGGAGCTGCTGAGAGTCCGTCCTGCAGTAGAATACATAGAAACCGCCATGCCAACGACGTGGACAAAGCACATACTCGGTTGACCGTTCGTTCCTTGTCATCTTGCTCTCGCCTTGCTTGCTTGGCCATGTGCGCGGCGATAGAGTGGGCATAACGAGCGATGACGTTCATGTCGTTTTCTACACAGTGATCGCCGTAGCTGTTCTGTGTGCGACGTACCGTCTTTTTCAACTTGAACACAAGCGCGACCAGCGTCAAACAGACATTGAGCACAACGTACGTCCTGTTCGTCGATTCTTCTCGTCTTCCTGCAATGCGTTTCTCTGTTTGCCACTTGACACCTCCTGTTCCTTGTTGCAGTTTGACAACGTCGTCGACCTGCTGCAGACGCACTTGGACTCCAAGTACCGCGTACTTCGCGTCGTTCCATCACCGCATTCCGTCATCACGTTGCACGCCATTGTGATCAATAGCGGAGTTGCGGTCCCTCACGTGGGTACGTCCGACCTTGTGGAACGAGCTACAGCTTGCGAGGTTCTCATAGAGCAGCTTGTTCGTTTCGTCGTCCTAGAAGCTGAAGTGATTGTCGATCAGCAACATGTGCTGGACCAACAACGCAAACACACGGACCAACGACGACGGGCGCGCCATCCATTGCCGTTTGTGCGCTTTCACGTGCACGATGCGGGTGCGATGACGCCGATTGCCGAGGTCTCGTTCCTGGTGCTTGTGTGATGATGAAGCGGATGTGTGTGATCGAGACGCTGACGTTGTGTCGCGTGTTTGTGCAGATGCTTCAACAACGGAATCTCATTGCACCGTACAAACGAAGCCATCCGCCGACGCAGCGCGAGCAAGTTACAGGTTGAACATGTCGATCTCGTCGTCTGACCCATTGCCAACGAGTGAATCTGCAGAGGTCAAGCCCTTGTCACCTGTGCAAGCCCTTGCTTTGGCCTTTTTGCTGGTATCGATCGCTTGCTGTAGCTGAGCGTCCGTCTTCCACGCGAATTGGACCACCGTGGCGGTGAGATTGTCTAGGCTCCCTTTCTTGTAGGCAGCCTTTACGATCGCGTCTGCCGCAGCTTTTGCATCGTGAAAGTGCGGCAGGGCGATATCAACGACATCTTGCTCACTCATGACGTCCCAGATGCCATCGCAGGCTAAGACGAGGAACAAGTCGTCAGCGAGCACTTGGAATCGCGCCACCTCTGGCTCACACGACACGAGCGGCGTCGGATGTTTCAGCGACTGATCGCCAAATGCACGTGAGACGGCCAAATGTGTCGACACTTCACGATGCATGGACAGCCCAGCTCCTGCTGCAGAGTACACGCGAGAAATGCCTGCAATCTTGCCCACAAAGCCACCTGCCTTTTCAATCCGCTGCTTTTCATCCGGGCGATCGGGTTTATGGTCACTCGTGAGCGGCACACCTCGACCACCTCGGCACATGACTGCTCGGCAGTCACCTACGTTCACGGCGTAAAAGCTCAGCTCGTTGTTCGCCTCGCTTGTCGCCGCAGTTTCGTCGGCATTGAAGTTGGCCGAGTCAGCTAAGAACCAAACCAAGAGAGCCGTGGATCCGTCTCGTGACGGGTTCTTTTGCAAGATCTGCGCATCCACTCGCCTGAACGAATCCTTGAACGATTTCAACAGGCAGCTGTGCTGTCTACTGCACCACTGCCACCTACTTCTCCGGCGGTCTGCTTCTTCCACATCGATTTGCTTCGTTTCGCTTTCCATTTGCGCGATAGCCTGCGAGAGCTGGTCGGCTAGCACGCGTAAGCCGTCAGCAGAGCTTTCAGCATCTGGCACGCTAGTATCGGACCTCATGGTCTCTACTTCTGCGAATTGCTGGCGCAGGATCGTTGCTTGTCTCTCCAGAGCGTCCTTGCGGGCTTCTTCTTGCACCGACTGATCTCGAGAACAGTGTAAACTAGCGAGCGCTTTCTCCCCGATCACCTGTTTCATCACTGAAGCAGCGGTCTTCACCAACTGCCGCGACAAAAACTCCGCTGTAAATGTCCCGCCGTGGCCATCGAAGATACCAAACACTGGGCCGAGAAAGACGTCAACGGACGATACATATCGGTCTTCGTTACTAGTTTTCATCCCTGCCCAGGACTCCGTCCCGAATCGCAGTCCACAGGTCGACATGTGTTCGTGCTGTTTCTGCTCTGCCCGATCTGACTTGACTACGTTACGAAGGGCACGACGCGCCTTTTCGTTCATGTCTTCTTCGACATTGTCACCGTCACGGATTTTCCGCTTCATCAGGCTATGCGTACTCGACTGGTGACCGTCAAGAGGTGTTTGACGACCACTCCTGTTTCGGTGGTTCGTCGTCCCATGGACCAAATGTCGGGCCCGTCTGCTTTCTGAGCACTAAACATGAACGTCAGTCAACCTTCATCTATTCTGCACAAGGAGTAACGTAGGTAGGTACGAAAGTACTCAACAGCGTGAACTCGAAGTCCCGATCTTGCTCGCAGCGAACTCGTCAGCCCACGGTCGACATCACAAAGCAGTGGGCAAATGCTGGCAGACGGTCAGAGCACACGTTAGTATCAAGCGCAACGAATGTAACATAGCTTCCGCTCGAAGGACGTACATGGAGTCGGGATGCGTTTTGGGCCATCGGACCCACAGATCTTCCACTGCTTGCAAAACACTCTCATGGAGCACAAGCACACAAATCGCATCGTACCCGCCGGCTGGAAACGTTGAAAGTTAGCGCGCAAGCACATAGCAGCATGTATGAACGCACGACCATACCTCCAGGCACTCCAGCAAGCAACACACCAGGAATCGCTAACGTTGCGTCTAGGATCGCTGTTTGTTCTGGTGGCTCAATTGCGACTCCGGCAGATATTCCCATTTCACTTTGATGTCGTGCAGACGAAATTGTCAGTTTGTTTTATACACATATGACAAGTGCTGCAAAGACACGTCGAAACAGCCAGCGCACTTACCGCATCAGTTGTCGAAGGCCTGCGTAGGCGACGCTTACTCTCGTGAGCGCAGCCCCAACATCAGCATCTTTCATACTCCACTGTAAGTACAAATAGCATCGATCAATTTGGTCGTGAGATAGCCAAAGCCTAGCCTGGAGGAACGACACTGTGCTTACCTGGTTGCGGCTTACAGCAGCCATCTCTTTCCAATCGCGTACGGTGAAGCTAGTCTCCAAATCGCAGATTTCAGCAAAACCACGCTCAACATCCATGGTATGGCTATGGATAGCATCCATCACTCGCGCTGCGTGCTCAGGATGATCTTTTTGCCACTTCAACACTTGCCGGACCATTGACACAGTCGCCGATCCGGATGACACGTCTCCCATCATCATGTGGAAGGTAGAAGGCAATCGAACAGGTTTCTGCGGCACAGACTTTCGTCAGAATGCGTAAGCTCAACACTGAGGAGCAAATGTTACCACGCGATCAGAAGTGTTCCACAATGCGTGGTCTGTGATGCAAAGCGCAATCCTCTCCGGCTCTATCGCGTTTTCGGACGTGAACGTGTCCAAGACTGACACTGGAAATCGGGTATACGACTGCGAACCAAAGCATGCTGCCGATACGTCGAAGCCGCTGCCAATCTGTTGTTCATATCCCAACCACCCGTTTATCCATCGATCGTCCAGCAGCGAGAAGAAAATAACAACAGCAGCACTACGTACTTTGCGCTGGACGTAGCAGTGACTCAACTGGGCCAAATTATGCACCAGCTCCAGATCCCTCTGCCGTTCCTCAACGCTTATAGCCGGCACAAAGAACGTCACGAGGGCTGCAACAAGTGACGTCACGAGAGCAGCAGAGCTCCCCATTCCTGTCTTCAATGCAACAAACTCGCCACCTCGATCTGCACGTATGCACGATCAGCACCGTCGCAAAGCGTGTCCATATTTGAAACCCCTACCTTCCATCGTAGGGGGAAGGAAGGCATCAAGTGCCTTCAAGCTGTCGCGGCAAAGTGGCTGCTTGGCATCTTGCAGCTAGTCAGGCACCACGTGCATCGTTAGTATATCCACGACAACCTTCTTCCTCCTCCGTTTTGTCTCTCAACGCTCTCGCACTCTCTGCACTTGAGAATAAAAGTCATTGTCGCCCCAAAGTCGAACGTGCACACGCTTCTTCGTCTTCACGAGCTTCCGAAACGTGTCTGCACTCTTGAACTCGCTCAGCCCAGCGGTTCCATTCACCGCACACAACACGGTGTCTTCAATGTACACATTGCGGTGCGAGCTCTTCCTACCACATGCCACATACGCCGTCGTCCACATCCACGTCACTCAATTGTCACCTGACGACTGCCACACATGAGCACTGTATCACCTGAGCTGGAATCGCAACGATCGTCCGTCATCGCGCTTTTCTTCGATCCAGCCATCAATCCGCTGCTTGAATTGATCACTCTCCACTGTCAACGGGAACAACGGACGCCAATCGCCTGACGCTGTGCCCACGGCAGTGTCAGGTTCGATACCCTGTACAAACGTATATTTCAACACGAATCAAATTACGATCAGAAAATGCAATTTATTGAACAATATAACAATGACGCGACAATAGAACAATAATGCGACAAAATAACGCGACAATACTGCGTAGCAATAATTGCATTGAACACGGGCGCCTCGATGCACAGGGCAGTGCTTGTGTCGTACCTGAGCCTCCACTTGCGCATAGAACCTCGCAGTCGTCGACAGCACGATGCCCGTGTATTGCTCCTGAAGTACCACATACCCGCCCGCAAGCAGCACTTTGCCAGGCGCAGACACACACGTTGACTGCATGCGCGGCAACGGCCGGCGGTATCGATCGCACTTAGCACCACTTAGAGCGATTACTTTAGCCCACGTAAAACCCACGGGCGACTCGAGCGTGGGTGGGTGGGTGGGTGGGCGATTAGGTCTTGTGTGTTTCCAAGTGATTAAACCAACATCCCACCGTCGCTCGTGATTGGCTGAGCGCTCCGGCCTTCGTCCATACCATTAGTCTCTATCGCATGGCGTCCTTCTCGATGCCGTACGTGACGCTTTGCGCTGCCCGTGCGCCCCACGACGAGGCCCTCACCCACTGCCTCTCTGTCTCTCGTGTGTCGAACAGGGAGCAGTACCTCAATCCGCTGCAACAGCGCGCGGCTGCCGCAGCGCAGGTGCGTAAACAGACCACTCGCTCGAGTCGTACCGTCCGTCACAGTGGATTCTGACTTACCGATATTCGCTATGGCTTTTGTAGGCTCTATTGGCTCCAGGACGGTCGATATCACAACGAGAGATCCAGACGATGCTGGAGAAAAACGAGGCGGCGCTGAGGGGCTGGAACGTGCTGCATAAACAACAGCGTACGTCAGTGTAGAGCGCAACTGCCATTCGAACGTATGTCGACTGCGTGACTGACTTTTAGTATGATGCTGCTGTGTGGAACTGTGCTGCGTGTTTGTGCTCCTATTTTCGTGCTACATGGTCGACTCGTGTGGCCTCGCAGCTGCCAAGGCAAACGCTGCCGAGCACAAAGAGTGGGTGCGAAGATGTGTGACGTATCGGAAACAGATTGGAGCTAGACTCGAGGTGCTGGCCTCGCTCGCGGACAAGCAGATTGCTCTGGAAGACGAAAAAAGTGGCGGACAAAAAGCTACGCCCTCGTCAACAGCAGCAGTAGCAGCAGCAGCAGCAGCTCCAAGAAAAGCAAAGACGTCGCGGAAACCAGCGCTGGCAGCTGTAAGTGCTGCGGTCTCGCGTGCCCAGCAACATTTGGCGTCTGTTGCTCCTCGGCCGGTATATGCTCCGCAACAGGCTCCGACGACGTCAACGCCAATACGACCTGCATCGACACGGTCGACGTCGATGATGGCGTCGCACACGGCCACGCCAACGCCGCCGACTATGTTTCCTGATCCCCCGATGCCTGTCGGATTTACGTCTGTGAGTCCGAGCATGTTTTTTCCATCGGGACAAATGAATCCAATGCAAACGTCGGCTGGATTCACGTCAGTCACGTCGATGGCGGCCTCTGGTGTCGCAACGTCGGCCCACGGCTATTCGATGAGCTCCAGCGGCCAAACGCTTACGCCGAATGCGTATATGACTTCCACTAGCGGACCTCCTAGTTTGTCTGCAGGATATGTGAATCAGCAAAACTACATGATGGGCGGCGGCATGATGAACCTCCAACAGCAGCAGTATATGTCCATGCCGATGCCTATGAACCTGGCGGGTGGAAACATGTATGACCCGAATTATGGCATACCTGCTGTACCAGCATCCACGAACATATACAGCAGTGGAAGCAGCAACAATAGAAATAGTGATAGCAACTTCCCCATGGATCCATTTGTCACTCCACTCGGATTCGGCTCTGATGTAAGTTTCGGATCATCTGGGTACCCTATGGATGGTATGGTGGGCATGCCCATGCAGCAACAAGAACACCAGATGATGGGATCCATGAACGGAGCCAATTTTGGAGCACCTATGGTGACAAACAATTTCGGATATGGAGCAGGCGTTGACATGCCGGCGTCGTCATCGCAAAGTATGATGCCGCAACCGTTGCCGATACATCAGTTTCAGCCAGCGCCGCAACACTTTCCGCAACAGGCCCAGCTTCCGCAGCAGTTACCACCTCAAACTGGGGCAAACGCGATGAGCTGGTCTCTAGATTCTGTGGTGTATGGTGAGAACAACGTGAATATCTTTGAAGGGTTGACAGACGATGCGTTCTTTCCGATGCAATGAGCAATTTACCCTTGACTGAGTCAAGTGTTCAAGTGGCCGCTTGCTGGGCCATCGCATTCTTTGCAAACGCGATCCAGCTGTATAACCGCTCTAGACACAATGTGCTGAGGCGCAAGCAATTGATGGCGACATATGCCGGGACGCGACGCTCACACGCTCGACGCGATTGTTTCCGACAAGGTCGTTGGTTTCATGTGGCTCCGATTTGGACTCACGTGCAGTTATAGCAGCACGAGCTCCACGGTCAATAAGCAGAGTGGTGAGCTTGAGCGACGGAAATGTGTCAACCTCGACCAACAAACAGTCGAACCGGCACGTGCTTGGGTCGATCGAGGCTGCCGTCGAACCTTTCAGACATACGCGGTCAGAACGACATGTTGCAGTGCGCGTGTGCTATCACGAGTGTGACTTACTGGATCAGGATGCTTTGTACGGCTACTGTGGTGCAGCGGATCTGCCGCCACATGATGGCAGGTCGGTCTGGGCTGGAAACCCGTCGAAGCTTTGCTCCGCAATCAAGTATCGGCATTTGTATTGCAGCGTTACGAAGCTGGCGGTGGAGTCCATGCTGTGTATGCTGCGATGTTTACTGAAGAGTAACACGTGTCAGGGTCGAAGCAAGGGACAGGTCAGCTTCGAAGGTGCTGGCACGAATTGCCAGCGACGACCGATCACGCGAGAAACTACTACTGGTAGAGGTCAACTGGAAAGACTTGGCAGCTCTATTGCTGGGTTGTTGCTCGTCGACCGGACAGATAGCTGTGGACACACTTTTTGTGTACCGAACGATGTCTGCAGGTGCCGAAAAGCGCTTTTGCAGCTGATACTGTGCTGCTTCATTGCGACGACAGCGGACGATTTGACGAGATGGGTGGTGAGTGGTCGTTTGATTCGGATAGAGCGAGTGCCAGCATGGAGACGGAAGGTTTACTTTGTGACGCCGCAACGTCACGGTTCCAGATTCACCTGTGCAAGTGCCAGAAGTCTACAAACAAGTTGCGAAGCGTGTTCTCCTGAGAGCGGTTCCAGGCAGTTTGTATGACGTCATTTGTCGCGGCACGTGCGAGGGCGTCGAAGTACTACTACCCAACCAACTTCCGTGCCGGTAGTTGATTTGGGTTGGTACAATACGAAGAGGACCGACCTATTCGGCAATGTAAGAAGAGTGCCGTGTTGCGACGAATGGCAACGATATGTGCCTTTTGGAGAATGCGAGTGCCAAGAAACACATGAGACGTGTGGGCCCGTATCCCATACTTTCACGTGGAACATCGGAAGACGAGTAGGAGGCCACGATCAGTCGTGCTGATCACTTGCTCGGGCAAAAGACTTGAGGTGCTGTCGTCTGCCGTTTGCATGTGAGACTTTGACCGGCGCCATAGTGCCTGCATGGATCATGGAAATCGCGCTTTTCCGGAACAAGCGCCATCTGATGTTGACCTGCCCGCGCCACTGCTTGGCCTGTAGACGCAGGAAGAAAGTATTCCACAGTGAAAGTGGTGGAATTGCTGTTACTTCTTACGCTCCTGTTGCAGCAATGTACTTGTTATCGTCCTAGTACTCTCGCGGAGCAGGCGCTGTCAACGCGCCTATAAGTACGACAGGTTGATCGTGTACTGTGGGTCTCGCTGGTTACGCTGGCGCGAGACCTCCGTGAAAATACGGTGCTTGAGCCACAGTGACTCTAGATACCGGTAGCGGGCCATATCTAGCCGGAGCGGTCTCCCTCGCTGAAGACCAACATCTTCTTCTCCATGGGAGTCAACATATGGACATGGGAAGTACGCTGCCATACTGCCTCCAATAACCGCGATGCGGCACTGTTCGAGCAGAAGCACAATGCCGACACCACCTCCACATTCTGCAGCGTGGCGCGTGCACTCGCCAACCGGTGGCCCATGCGGCATGAATGTGCGAGTGCAACACGAGTCTCCGCAGCACAGGTACTCGCCGCATATCAAGCACAAACCCGGGTCGCAGGGCGCTTTTTCGCACCGTGTGCATTTACGGCCTGCCATCTCGCTGTAAAGCTCGTCGAACTGGACAGGCAACTCGATTAATCGTGGTCGCGTCGGCACGTCACGCAGAATAAACATGCTGGCAACATAGGCTTCGCTGCAGCCTTCAGTGTGTTCACACTTGTCGCCGGCTCTCAAAGTTCCCAAGTAGGTCTTGCTGAGCATACGGTCCATACACCATCGCCAAATCTGGTCAAATGTGGCATCGGAACTGCGGGCCACGTCGACCAATGTTGGAATCTGTATCGTCCTAGTGCTCTTGGGTGCGCCGGTACCTTCGTTCGCCAGACAGCACCAGAATAGCTTCATACGGCGCACGAAAGCATTGTTTGCGTCCACGATTTGCTTCAGCCGCGCGTTTACATCGCCTGTTGTTGTGAGTGGCTTCAACTGCTCGGAAGAATACACCCTTGCCATTCGCTGCAAAAGCTGCAGCACAGCGTATGCCTCAGAGTCGCCCTCGCCCAAAGCTTCCATTGCTTGCATCAACTGTTGCGCGGTCTTTGTGGGGGCCTGAGTAGATCGCGTATTCGCGGCATAGCCGATAGTACGACCACTTCGAGTGCGACGCGGAGCCGAAACGGAGTCGCTAGTCGCAGCTGTAGCTTCTTGGTGCTCTGGCTCCGTAGTTTCGCTCATTGCGTCGGCAGAGGATTCGCCTGGAAACAGCGATAGCGCCTCAAGCTTATCAGGCTGGAAAAATTCGGCATGCAGACGCTGCAACAGATCGGCAGCGCTAAATACCGGAATAGACCGCCAAATAGTCTCGAGTCCATCTGCGATCACACTGGCCACAACGAAAGCCTGCAACACATACTCTGTCAGCGTTGTTGACCGTAGACACTGTCCCGATCGCCGTGACGTACCGTGAAAGTGTCTGCTACTAGCAGACCCAGAATGGTTCCGCGTATACAGGCATCGATTGAGCCGAGGACCTAGTCAACACACGCATTGTTTGTCAGCAGATATACCCGGCACCTTTTCTTGACCAAAGCCAGCACCAGATAGTCATACCTTAGTATACTTGCGGTAATCGCGATTTGTCTCGGTATTGATCGGGCAGCAGCGTTTCGCGGTTTCCCAAATCACCTTCGCGTCAGCGCCATGCTCTAAAAGTGAGAACGTCCATCTACAGAACTTCGTGACTGCTATTAGTGACTCAAACTCTTTCTCCATCGATGGAGGACAGCGATCGATGAGTGGGTCAAACACGGAGCTGCAGTTTGAGTCTGCACGGTGCTCATCGTCCGCGACAATCAAAAACGAGGCCACGGTGAATGCACACGCAGACCACAAGAACGGCGCGCCCTTTTCCAAACTGCCATGAGGTTCCCACAGCGTTTCCTCGTAATAATCCCGCCATGAGTCGTGTTCAGAGTCGGTGTCATTATGTTCATACTTACCGTCGCGGCCAAGCACTGAGCGGTACCATCCCGGCATCGATAATTGTTCCACCACTATACCGTCCCAAGCAGCAGCTTTTTCTTCTTCATCGCGTATTGGCGCCCCTACTGCACCTTTGTGTTCACACGTATCCCCGTTTTCGATGGAAAGATGAGGCACTGATGCGGGGACTAAGAAATTACTCAGCGTTTTGCACAAAGGACACAAAAACTGCGTCATTGCTGAATCCGGGTCAATCGCTTGAACGCCGTCAAATTCTTCACCACGCATAGCTTTGTCATGCAACGAAGTAATGTAGCGTTCAAGGCATTGAATATGCACCGCGTGTTGGCATGTACGGATGTGTAATCCACACGGAGTGACATATAGCTTGGCGTGTTGGTGAGGCCGACCGAACCCGGGCGGCATTTGCTCTGGACGAAATTGAGAAGGACTTGCTTCGTCGTTGTCATCCGTCATTCCCCCTTGGTCACGTGCATTGCCACCTCGAGGTCCAGCTACGTCACGGTCTCTCAATCCACGCGACTCAACCAGGTCGCCACGAAGATCCATACTTACAGCACCGTGCGTGTCCACAGGAAAAAGACGTTGGTCCTCGCGAAGATCCAAAGTGCCTTCAAGGACTTCTAGATCTTCTTCCGCCTCTATGAGCTCACCTTCGAGTACCGGGATGTTTCCATTTTCGAAGCGAATGCGATCATTGCGCAAGCGGCGAGTCGTTGGCGGGCGAGGACTGTTATGTGCTGTGTTGTCGCGAGTAAGCTGGTCATCCAACATGCCGTCCATGTACCATTCAGGAAACGTGTTTGCGAAAGCACGCAAGGTGGGTGACAAATTTGCAATATCGGATGAGGGCGTGCTGCCACCTGAACACAGACCCATCTCCTCGATCATGCTTTTTACACGAAGACGCGTCTTTTTACCCTCCAAGCCCAGCGCCTCGCTTGGCTCTGGTCTAAACCCAGGAGCCAAGACGGTAGACTGATGAACGTAGGCTGCTATTCCCATTTGGCCTTGAGCCGAGGTGTCGTGGCAAAGAATGCACTTGTAGCTCCGCTCATTGTCCAGTTTCCGGCTCGCCGAGGTAACTTCCTCCACTTGGTCAGCAGTCGAAGCCTTACGTTTACCCAGCGACGAACGGGTTTCATACGTCGACGCGCCTTTCTCCAGCTGATCCATCTCCACTTCCCTTTTTTTATCCGCAACATCCACCATCGCTTGGAAATCGGCTTGGCGCTTTGCCATGGTAGCCATTGCTCTTCTCCTTGCCTCTATTTTTCGTTGTTCCAGCGTCATCGATGAAGATGAGCCACCATTTACAGAACCACTCAGAAGCAAAAGCGACACGTCAGTCTTCTTTTGCTTTACTCCTGTATCGCGAGCACACTGCTCGAATGCTTTTCTGCAAACAGGTGATTCGACTGAGATTTTCCAAATCAGCCACTCGACCGTACCGATCTGTTCGCTATCAAGTAAAACTGTCGACCGCTCGAACAATTGGCTCAACAGGTTGAGAAGTGACAGTCCAGAGGTAGCAGCTTTTGTCACGCTCAGTCGAGTCCAGAAGCGCTCGTCGGAGTCAAATGACGCCGTGTGGACGCCGTGGACCAGCAAGTGCAAACTGGTTGACACAATTGCGTCGGAGACACTTTTCTCCGAACCTGCAGATGCTGACTCAGAATGACATGAGGAAAGCACCTTCCAAAGAATCACATGGATAATCGCCACGGTACTCTCGCATGTCAGGACAGCTTGGACTGGGCGTAAGAAATCAAGCGGAGGTTTGGCTGCCTTCAATGGCTCCTTCGGGGGTCTCTCGGGGGCAGCCTGCTTCGACTTCAGGCGGTATGCATCGCGGTAGTTCGTCCAACGATCCCGAGCTAGCTCGTGCGCTTCGCGGTTTAAGTGAAGAAAGTATGGGTTGTAGCTCTCCAGCACACCCTCTTTCAATTGGTAACGACCCGGCTCAAGCCCAGATGACGGCACAAAATCAGACACCGTCGCAAGAACTTCTTCCAGTTGCGCTGTTGGGATATCATCCTGGCCTGATGGTAGAACAGCTAGGTCAGAGAGCTTGCTAAACGGGAGTGACTTTGCACACAACTGCTGCAGCATCTCTTCTGCCAGATATTCGTTATCGTACGTTGCACCAGTCGCGCTCGGAAGACTTGTACCAAGTGTGATCACGAGACGCAGAAATTCCTCAAGCATCTGGAGGCTTTGCTGTTTATCCATTCCTCGTTCTTCTTCCGCAAACCCGAGCTGCTTCATCAGATCGTCAGATCCTACCGAGCTATCTTGGTTGGCACTGGTCGCACGAGGCAGTGCAAGATAACTGCCAAGTTGGAATCGATCTACCATTCGTGCCAAAAGGGCGTCAGGCCCAGTCATGAGAACACTGAGCTGCAGCATTAGTGTGTCGGCATCACGATAGTGAATACAATAAGGAAGAGCTGAGTAGTTGTACAGCTGTGCTAGCATATTTTCATCTCCATTCCGACGCCAAAGATTGGACTGGATTTGGGATGCCATCACCAGACATCGAAGTGGCATCTCCACGAGCTCCCATTGCATGTCACCTGACAATCGATCAAAACTGAAAATTCTCAAAAATCCGTCCGAAGGAATGGAATCTCCTAAACCTGGTAAACTGATGCAGATATGCCGCACTGCAGCTGCCAGGAAACGGTGCAAAGGTATGTGAAGCGAGGTCGGCTGGGATGCTACGTTAAAGTCGTATGTCACAATACGCTCTTCTTGTGTATCAGCACCCACTTTGTCCGCGTTCAGAAGCCCCACCACTGGAACCAACGTCTTCTTTGCCACTTGTTCATTAGCGCGGATTGACGACGAAATAGTAGCTTCGAGTACAGACCTGACTACTGCGGTCACTTTTTCTCCGGACGGTGCAAACTCCGGCGAATGAAAACCGTTCCAGGCGATCGCAAAAATCGAGTGGATGCGAATGCCAAGATTAAACATCGACAACCAGCTGTCTGACTCGTATTCCACGTGGTTTTGGTGGAAGCCTCGACGTACTTGAGGATCACCACCCTTATACAAGCAAAGCATCACATGTTATCAGTGGTGCAATAAGGTCACCGATCACAACTCTGTCTCTTACCTGAAGAATGCTCAAACAAGATAGCCAAATTTCTAAATTGTCCGCGCTAAGCACTAGGTCACTCGAAAGAGTACAAATGCTGAAGACGCATTCCATGTTCTCGACACAGTGCTACATCATGACAAAAAGTGAGTTTGCGATGGCTCTCTCAATGACGTGAATGCCACTTACCTTATACTTCTGACTGCTCAGAGCAGGGTGATCAGCGTTCAGCGTCCCTTTCGTTCCGTCGACAGCAGATGCAAGTACCGTATTTAATGCGCAGAGCAACTCGCGGACCAGCTCCAGCTTTCCAGAGGATGCAGTGTATTTTTGCACGAGATGCGGCACCGTCAAGAACTGCTCGGCAAAATCGAATATGGACTCATTTGAATTGTCCAAGCCACGGAGGAACATACGGGTCATTGAGGCGTACGAGCGCAGATATGCCTCGAGCATGCTAGCCCGGAACTGAATATCAACCAGATGCTCGCGTAACAACGCGTGCAATCGCTCTACCGCGTTTCTCCGCAATGTACAATCGTACCGCATCAGTAGCGTCAGAGCTGATGCAGCAGCATCAACATCACTTGTTCGATCCGATGCGAAATACGTTGCCACTACAGCGTCAAATCGTTGCCGGACACGCTCGTGATTGCGGTACGATGGACTCAGCGACACGGCCTTGACGAACTCTTCGAGAAACATGTTCCGGCAGCTAACATGTTTCCCGCCAGCGAGCAGCCCGGTAGGCACTACGGAGGCTGTGCCACCTTGAGCACGAAAATCGAAGCGCTGACGCTGCGCTGTTTCTTGCTCGCACGCCCACGTGTGTACGTCCTTACCTCCAGCGACGAGGGCAATCAGAACATCCGAAGCGTGGTCATGCAGGCGGATATGGCGCTCTCTCACGAACTCCTGAAACGTCTTTTTCTGAGGCAAAGTGCGTGACACGGGCACGAAACCGTGGAGGACAGGAGCTCGCTGCTTTTGAAGTGCTTCCGACACAATCTCGCTAAGCCCATCTGATGTTGTGCTAATATATTGCAGCCACTCCAAAAGATCAGGCAATCCTTCCATCTGCTTTTCCCACCAAGTTGGGGCAACAGAGATGTTCAGTGAGCGACGCGCTAGATTTCCAACAACTCCTGGACACAGCAGCAGCGCTTTCGTCGATACCGTGGCGTCGCCTTGGTCGTCTACTTGACTGACAACACTGCGCGCCTGAGATTTGGACAGACCCAACTCCACGTATAGGTGATCAATCACTTCATTCAGCGAGTGAATGTCGTCATTATGAAGACGGATGCCAAAAAGCACTTCGTCGCTTGAGCTACTCGTCTCATGCTTCACTTCGTTTGCCTGTGCCTCTAGCCTGCCACCAGGTCCGACGGTTCTCGATCCAGGCTCATTCGTATATTGCGCCGACAACCGCATTGATCGTGTTGCTGCCACTGTAGATCGATTCGCACTACGTGCAGTGCTTGCGTTACTTCCGACAGCATCTGCCACAACCATGTCACTCTGAATTGGTAGCACGTTTGGTGGAATGTCTCTCGTAAATAGCTCCAGAGCTTCTGCGAGCTCAAACCCGTACTCGGTTCCCAGCATCACTTGGTAAATATGTTCCACAACCGCATCAATCACAACAGTCGCCGCTACGCAAATGGCTCGTGGCAGCTTATGTTTCTGCACTCCCACGCTCGACCGATCGACTCCTTTGTGCCTCGAACAAAACCCGCTTTTCTTCCACGCCTGTCATTCCCAGCACGAGATTGTCAACCAAAACACAGCGACGACGACAAACGTCAATACAGTCATCAGTTACGACTGACAAGAAAAGAAAACAGAACGTTTTGGCCAATGAACAACGACCAACAACGTACATGGACATCGCCACAGTCACACGAGCTGCCTGCTGTCGTCCTCTGGAAGTACACGTCGTGGCCAGCGTGATCACTACAGACAAAACAGTCCTTGCACATGACGCACGTTGCGTCCAGCTGGCAATTGCGGCAGCTGTACGAGATCTCATCGGCCGAAAAGATGGCGCCACACACGCGTTTGCGCTCGTTCCGCGGCAGCTTGGCCAGGATCTGCGTCGGCGTCAGCGCCCTGTCTTTCCCATTGGCGCACAGCGAAGTCAGCAGCGCGTTGCACGTGGCCAGGACGGAGGTACCGGCGCGGCCAGTCAGCGCCAAGTTGCTCTGCAACGCGAAGCGCACGAGCGCCAGGAACTCCTTCTCGCGGTGCCGCGTGATCGTATGCTGGGAGACGAGTCGCGTCACGCACGTCGTGTCGGCGTCTTTCGCGGCAGACGCCTTGATCTTGGCTGCTAGCGCCTTCCGCTTCGTCGTCGCGGCGGTCTTCTTGCCTCGGATCGCTACCATCGAGTTTGGGTTTTCGAAGAGTGAAGGTCTTTTTTTCACGAGTGGGTGCGTGTGTGTGTGTGCGTGCGTGTGTGGGTGTTTTTGGTTTGTTTTTCAGTGTCGGATGCGGCTTATTTTGACCAATGAGCTGCGGACGGAATGAGCACGACTCCGACGAGGGACGTTGACGCGATGGCGGGTGTTTCGTGATCAAAATGGCGATTCGGGTATAAGGTGCGTTATTCCCCGAGCTGTATTTCGACGCGAGCTTAGAGCCGCTCAGCTGTATTTCGGGGAATAGACGCGACGTGTGACGGAAACTGTAGAGTCTAATAAATCGCTTCGAAGCAGACCTGAAAACGTCGAGCTGAAGTGGTCCTCCGCTCCTCATGGAACGACATCGAGTCTGTGGTCTAGAAACCTGACTCGAAATGCGGAATAGATCGCAGACTGAAAACTACGAAACTTGTGCACAACCAGTCGGCGGAAATAAAATAGCAATAATTACACGGACGCCTCGAACAGGTGGCATTGACAATGACGTCACCCCTACGACGCACTGTGGCTTATCCCGATCCCTTCGGTCCTGTAGTCCTTGTCGATTTCCCTGCACGACGGTGCAGCCTCTCTTCTCGGATTCGTCGCGCACGCTCACGTTTTTCCTCCAGCTTTTGTTGCTGCAACGCCTCGAGCTGTCGCTTTGCCACCTCTCGCTGGTTCCGAGCAGCTTCGCGGGCGAGAAGTTCACGCTTCTTCTTGTCTTCTTTGAGCTTCAGCGCGGCCTCCTTTCTCGATTCGTAAGTCACTCCTTTACTCGTCCGTTTGCTACCACCAGGTGAGTCAGCTGGTCTCGATGCTAGAGACCTTCCGTTGTGGTTTGTGCTTGCAGTAAGACTGCTAGAAGTAGAGCTTGATGATATGGCGGACGAGGAAAGCACGTGGCCAGGTCCTGGAGCTGGTGCATGTGTCCCCAGCTTCAGCACATCCACCACATGACGCGATCGCAGGCGCATCGAAGACGAGGCTGAGGGTGCATCACTCGAGTCACTCTCGTCAACTTCAGCTACAGACGGCAGCTCTGTACGAACATTCTCTGTCGAGAGCACTCGAGAAACCCGCTGCTTGGGCTCTCCTTCGCGCAGCTCAACTGCCCCGGTCTGCATCACCTGCATCCCGCGTATCCTCATTCCCTCGCTCTCAAGCTGATTCTGCACACTTTCCCTCTCAATCGCCTCCACATGTTTCGTGTCGTGCTTCTCTTGCTCCTTTTCTTGCTCGGTTTCTAGTCTGTCCGACGTCAGTTGCTGCTGCAGCATCACCTCTGCCTCCTCCAATGCATCCTCACTTTCAACCGTGCCACTGGTGCCGCTACCCTTTCCACCGCTTGCTTTTTCCTTCCTCTGCTGCTGCTCGCCGTTGTCTTGCACATAGACCTGAAGCCACACATATCGACGAGTTTAGCTCAACGCGTCCACAGTCCCAATACCATGACGCCACGAACCTGCTCAGCAGCTTGATGAAGCTTCTCGGCGACTTCTTCGGGCAGGAAAATGCACTCCCCGTCAATCTGCATCTTGTTGTACGCTTCGAGAATCAAATTCTCCAGCGCTTCGACCATTTTGTTTTCTTCCTCGTCATCACTCGCAACGGTAGCGATGCCAGGGGTAGCGGACACCGCCAGAGCTTCATTCAACTGTGTAGACGCTCGTGCAACTACTTGTGGTCGCGGTGCGCTTTGCATCGCTGCAGAAGCGTCCGTGCTGACGCTCTCGCCGTCCGCCGGCGGCGTCATCGCTTTCCAACTGCATCCGCATGGCAGTACTCTGAAATATGATACAACTGCGTCTATTCACTTTTAGAATCATGGCTACACTCAGCGTCTTGCAGTCATCGGCGACAAGGCAGTCGCAAACTTCGACCGGACACTCTATTTACACAGCACTCTCTGCCCGTGCCTTCTCAAGGCGCATGTTGGCCACATCGTCCTCAGCTGTCGCTACAGTGGGCCGCTGTAACATACCGCCAAACACCGGCTGCATGTACGTCGCATCGAACGCTTGCCAGTTGCGGAAGAACGCACCGGTCAGCGAGTCGCCGAAAGGTCGATCAACAGTACGAGGCGCAGATGTCGCCGCGTCCGCGTCCTCTGCGTCGTCGCCCATGGCGTCGTGGAACTGCGGCCGTGACGTGAGGATCGGAATCACATTTCCTCTTTCGTCGCGGTTCGTTGTGGTGTGCTCTTCCTCTGGAAACGCCAAGATCCCATGCAGCTCGCCGTCGTAGTGACGGGCGCTTCGTTGGGTCAGTCGCGACACAGTCTCTTCGGACTCGGATGCAGTCGTTGAGCCCCTGTCTGTGTCCGACTGGCCGGGCTGGTCGCCGTTCTTGCCAGTGAGGTGGAAGTTCGACAGCAGCGGACCCATGAGACCGCCAATAAAGATTGTCGTGATGAGGATCACCACAAGAGTCGTCGACTCGATCAGTCGGCGGTGCGATGCTCCATGCAGACCAACGTAGTTCCAGTTCTTGGCCAAAGCAAAAGCCATTGATCCACGGAGGCCGGCGAGCCAGATGACGCTCATGTACTTCACCGGGATCCGGTTCGACTGAGAACGCATGCAGTTACACAGACTCAGTAGCGGGAAAACGTTGAAGAAGCGCGCAGTGATGCAGGCGACAAGCGTGAGGCCAATGAACGACCAGTCGATATCGTCCACGCGCAGTGCGGCACCGGCATTTTCTTCACTGTGACCAGCAAAGATGATGACCACGGACGTGCCCATGAACACGTACACAATGTTTTCGCACACGAACGCCAACGTGTGCAGCAAGTGCGTGAACGCGTGCTGTGCTTCCCTCGACAACGTATTGAAATGGTAGTGCGCCGTCATGGTGCCCGAGAAGAAGAGTGCGACAATGCCACTCAGCTTCAGGCTGTCCGCGACAAAGTACGTGAGCAGACTGAAGATCAAGCAGAGCGAGATCTCGTAGCTCGGGTAGTAGCGCAGTGTCGCGAAGAACGGACGGTTGAGCAGGAACGCTCCCCCGAGCGTGATAAAAGCACTCACGAGCAACGACCCGGTGAACATGCCACCCGTATTGAGCACGACGCGCAGCAGCTGCTTGGCCGTGAAGCTGCTTTCCGCGTCCCACTTGTTCAGCGTCTGGTACAGTGCGATCGCCACGGCGTCGTTCATCACGCTCTCGCCAAACACGAGGTTGAACAGAAGCGGTGGTACATTGAGCTTGTCGAAACAGCTGAGCGTCGCCACTGTGTCCACGGCGCTAATCAGCGTGCCAAAGAGAAACGCTTCGACCCACGACAGCTCCGTCACGATGCCAGCCAAGCCAGCAAGATACAAGATGCCGCCCGTGCCAGTCGTTGCAACAACAGTGCCAAGCACGGCCGTGCTCATGATGGCTGGGAAATTGCGGAAGAAGGCCTGCCGCTTGATCGAGAACCCGCCTTCGTAGATAATGGGCGGCAGCAGGACGTTGAAAAAGAGACTGCTGTCGAGGTTCAAGTGCGTGTGGAGCGCCGCGTGCTTTCCCCCGACGATCATAAAGAGGCCCACAAAGAGACCAAACATGAGCGCGAAGCTGCTCTGCGACACGAGCATGCACGAGTACTGGCCGAGCATGTACGACGCCATCACGAGCACGAACAGCATGAGCAGCAACAGCACAGCGTCTTCCATGACGGCTTCCGAGTGGCGGAGATGGACGTGGGGCTGCGACACCACACGATTCGGTCCGTCGCGTGGCGGGACCGGTAACAGTCGACGAGTGCCATATGACATTCGGGTGCTCACAGACGAACTTGCGCGGTGGGTACACTTTATGTACACGGACAGGGACTTTCGTCCAATCAGATCGACTGCACGAGTAACCACCCCCTCTGTAACTTACACCTGTCTTACCGCCCGATCAGATTCTGTGTCCAGCTCGCCGTCTTCCTGGTCAAGAGACGGACGACGACGACAACGATCTGATACGGTCTCGTGCGTGGCGCGCAGCCTCGTGCCCGAGATGGTCTCGAGGCCTCCGAAGACCGGCTGCATGTAGACTGCATCGAACGCGAGCCACTTGCGGATGAACGTGCCGGTGAACGTCTCGCGTCGCGGCGCGCCCAGTGCATCGACATGGGGCTCTCGTCGCTCCTCGTCGTCGCTGTAGTCCTCGTCCCGAAACTGCGGTCGGGACGTGAGCACTGGGTACGGGTCCACAGTGACCGCCTGCTCGCCCATCGCCTCGTCTGCAGACGTCTGTGGCTCGTGCGGATCTGCGATCCTCGAGTGCCGACGAAGCGCAAAGTGGCGCGTACTGCGTTGCAGCGCGCGTGCCTGCTCGCCGTCACCGCTCGAGTCCTGGCCAGGCTCTGACTGCCTCAGTTCGCTGTGGTGATCCGTGAGGCGCAACTTGGAGAGAATGGGGCCCGTCACGCCGCCAATTACGATCGTCGTAAAGAGCACGACGACGAGCGTCGTGGATTCCACGAGCCGACGGTGCGAGCCGTGAAGCCCAATGTACTTCCAGTTCTTTGCGAGGGCAAACGCAATGGACCCACGAAGCGCGACGAACCACATCACGCCCATGTGTTTCACGGGAATCCGGTCCGACGAGTCCCGAGAGCAGTTCGACAGTCGCAGGAGTGGGAAGATGTTGAACAAACGGGCCACGACGCAGGCGACGAGTGTGAGCGCGATGAAGCGCCAGTCCACGTCGTCCACGCGCAGTGCACCGCCGGAACCCCGCTTTGGGTGGCCCGAGAAGATCAGGATCACGGACGTGCCCATGAACACGTACACGATGTTTTCGCACACAAACGACAACGTGTGCAGCAAGTGAGTGAACGCATGCCGCGCTTCGCGTGACAGCGCGTTGAAGTGGTAGTGAGCGGTCATGGTTCCGGAGAAAAACAGCGCGACAATGCCGCTCAAGTTCAGACTGTCAGCTACATAGTACGTGAGCAGGCTAAAGATCAAGCACAGCGAGATCTCGTAGCTCGGGAAGAAGTGCAGCGTGGCGAAGACCTGGCGCTTGAGCAAGAAGGCACCGCTCAGTGTGATCGTTGCACTCACAAGGAGCGACCCGACAAACATGCCACTTGTGTTGAGAGCGACGAGCATCAACTGGTTCCAGCTCAAGTCAGTGCCAACGTCCCATTTCTGCAGCGTCTGGTACAAGGCAATGACCACGGCATTGTTGATCACGCTCTCTCCAAACACGAGGTTGAACAGCAGCGGCGGCACGCGTAGTCGATTGAAGCACGACAACGTAGCTACTGGGTCCACGGCGTTGATGAGCGTCCCGAACAGCAGCGCTTCGACCCACGAAAGTCGCATCACCATCTTGAGCTTTCCAGCAAGGTAGAGGATACCGCCTGTGATGGTCGCAGCGACGACGGTGCCAATGACGGCCGTGCCCATGATAGCTGGGAAGTTGCGAAAGAACGCTTGCCGCTTGATCGAAAAGCCGCCTTCGTAGATAATGGGCGGCAATAGCACACTAAAAAAGAGGCTGTTGTCCAGATTTAGGTGCGTATGCAGCGCTACGTGTTTGTCCCCCATGACCATCACGAGCCCTACGACAAGGCCAAAGACCATGGCAAAGCCGCTTTGCGACACCAGGTTGCACGAGTACCGGTCGAGCACGAACGACACGACGACCACGACGAACAGCATCAGCAACAGCAGCACCGCGTCTGCCATGGCCGCCGCTTCGACATCTCGCTCGCGTGCCATTTCCACGAATCAGCGACAAAGTGCACCCGCGAAACAAGAAATGGTCTGAAAATAGCGCTACATTGGACCGCGTGGCACTAATCTTGCACACAAATCTGTGCAGCTACTTTTAGCGGGACGCAAACTTGGCACGAGGAGCTCGTGCGGCGCCTTTTTTGAAGCGCAGCATGCCCATGATTGCTGCAGCAAGACTGCAACCAAACCTTTACACAGCTGTCAGTCGACATCATGACTTGTTGACACAAGTTGCTCAACATTCATTCGTACCAGGTCGCAGCGTAGCCGATGTGTTTCTCAGGCGTCATGTAGAACTCCAGATACGACGCGAGGCTCTTTTGCACGGGCTTGTCAAGCGTGGCTTCGCTGCTCGCGTCCTCGACCGCTAGGAAGGGAGCAGCGAGCAATTGTTAGACCAGCACACCGCTGCATGTGGATCCGTATCCACCTACCTAGCGCATCGACCATCACAGGCAAGTCGGTCGAGGTGACGCCCATGGCATCCGCCAGTTCCCTCTGGTCCACGTAGAAAAAGTGGCGATGTTCTGGATCGTTGTCTGGCGTAAAGCGGTTCCTCTGCAGCGCAAACGCTGTAAGAAAGCGCAGACAAACATCGAGTGATATCGCCGGCAGTACATACCACTTCCTCATGACGAAGCACGCCGATGAACGACACGTTCACGTCATCCTCCTTCTTGTCGCGCGCCATGTGAGCATCCAAAAGCTCGCGCGGAAGCCAACCTCGGTTCACAATCACCGGTGTTCTGCACAACACGACAGGACTTGTGACACGTGATCGCGAGCAAACGCAGGACAGCAGACGAAGTCTCACCCATTCTCTCGCTCTAGCAGCGAATAAATGTAGCCGCCGGACTTCACTGTTGCCACCGAATCGTTCGGATCGGCAGGCGCCGAGCGAGGATCTGCAACACGAATGCACGTCATGGCGTCAAAAGCCCAGTGACGTTTGCATAGCAACTGCTTTCTGTCTAAACCATATATCGTACACAAGTAAATCGTGCTGCCAGGCTTATAGCGACCTTCAACACGAAGCTGGCGGTACTCGATATCATCTCTACACCAGATCAGTGCATAACGTCGTTAGTTTGCGCAAACGCAGCCATCCACACCATGCATCAATCTGACGTGTCATCGCTCGCTGTTGCGTTCTTCGGCAGCTCAATGACCGACTCTGACAGCTCTTTGCTGCGCTCTTTGATCAGATCCATCTTCCAGTAGTAGCGTTCGACCTGCCGTTTCCATCCAGACATCCCACAACGTTCGCGATGGAGCCAACAACAAACCTTTGGAGCTTTGCATCATCATCATCATCATCATGTCATGCAATGTACCTGCCACGTGCCCAGGTACGCGGTCGTTGCCGTCTAGTGCAGCCCACAAGTAAGCAGACGGTCGGTTACAACCACAAGTCTCCGATCTCTTCTTGTGTATCCATTGCTGAACGCACGCACCACTGCGCCAAAGACCGCCATGCCAGCGTATCGAGAGAAGCTGCTCTCATTGACACTCGAGTGCTTCGTTGCGGTATCCGACACCGACGCCACGCAGCGACTCGCGGGCAGACGCGGCAGGACTCGAAGCACGCGACGTGCGAACATTATTGATCAAGATATCGAGAAAACAGTTGTCCAACAGACGACAGAAAGAGTCGATCCAACAGTTGCCAACACACGACTAAACTTGGATTATGGCACTGCCTACCATTATTGCTTTCACTACCATTATTGATCTCGCTACCATTATTGATCTCACTACCATTATTGATGTAGTACGCCCGTTATGGGTCTCGATTTCGCAGCGAACTTTTGTGGTGCGAGCCTACTATTCCAACAACTCACGGTCCTTGTTGTACCCATCCATCCACCCATCCACCCACCCACCCACTACGACCATGGCTTTCAAAGCTGATGGACACATCTTTGGCAACTTCCACGCGTACTACAGCTTCAACCCCGTGCACGAGCGCTTGCGGTTTATGGATGCGCAGACTGCTGATGCGCTGCGCCGGGAACTGCTCATGAAGGAATCGTCGGGTGCAAATGCGGCAGACGAGACGTTGACTGTCATTGACATTGGCTGCAACGAAGGCGACTTGACGATCGGTCTGTACAACGCGCTGACTGGTCGAGAAGCACCTGCAAGTGCCGGTCACATGGACGACGTGACTGACTTTGACCTCGCTCACATTTGTACCCTAAATGAACGCGTACAGAAGAACAAGTGGCACGTGGAGTACCTGATTGAGGACCAGAGCGAGACGAATCATCGCAGACACTACGTCTGTGAGCTCCAGATCAACAACAAGGTGATGGGTCATGGGGAAGGCGTATCGAAGAAGGTGGCAAAGGCCAAGGCGGCTGAAATGGCTCTGACGGCACTCGACGACAAGAACCAGATCCAGGAACAGAGAGAGGAGAAGTCCACGGACACGAACAGCGGTCTGGACCAGTGTCCAGTGGCAACAGAAAACGAAGAGATGGCGATGAGAAAGAAGAAGCTCATGGTTCTTGGTGTAGATCTTGACGAGGCGCTGATTGCACGTGCTGCCAAGAAGCCCGTGCAGGTGGCCGACGGAGATGTCGTGCAATTCCGTCGCGTGGATGTCATGATGAGCGCGTTCCGCAAGGAAATCGCTCCGTTTCTAGAGCTGGCGAAGCGCACGACAGGCAAGCGCGAATTCGATTTCGTCACTTGCTTTAGCGTGACAATGTGGATTCATCTCAATCATGGAGACGACGGCCTGTGGAAGTTTCTCGAGACAGTCAGTAACATGACCGAGCATCTTATCATCGAGCCTCAGACGTGGAAATGCTATCGGTACGTGACAAGTCGGTAGGCTTGTCGGCAGGTGTGGTGATTCCTCGGATTGCACTGACGCAACTGCTTGTCCCGTGTTGACCACAGCAACGCACGGAAGCGGCTGAACCGCAGGCACATCGAAGTGCCTCAGTCGTTCAACGAGATCAAGGTACGCGCGGACGTCGTCGAGAAGATTGACGCGTTTTTGCTGGCAGGCCGGTTCCGCTACAAAGCTCAACTTGGCAAGACCAACTGGTCGCGGAATGTAGTTCTCTACAGCCGCAAGCCCGTGCCTGGGATCTTGTACGCTTTGTGATAGCAGACAAAGTGCGCAAGAAGCCAGCGCAAGCGATGGCGGTGGTTCTCTGTACTGAGTGAGGCCAAAAACCGCGTCTGCGTCCGGACTCGCTCGACTGACCGCATCACTTTTGCACGGCACGGGTCAGCCAATGGGGACGGCTGGGAGACGTTCCTGCTTCCTTCTGGCGCTGGATGTAACGAAGAAGTGCAGGCGTTCAGCACCATTGTCTTCGCACACTGGCCTTATCGTGCGTGTCGATGCTGATTCGTATCTGTCTCATGCACACGTTTGTATAACGCCTACGCGAGTATGGTCCACATACCCCGTGGCGACGCCAAAGGCATAACGACAACCAGGAGGCTGTCGATGCCGTACTAATGCTGTAATGACACAGACTGTGTCTCACCAACTGGTTTGTGTGCGGTTTACAGAATGGCTGTGCGCTGTGTCGTGCTTTGTAAGCAAGCACCGTTTTCCGACGAACAAAGTTCGTTCGTGTCTCGTTTTTCTCAGAAGACGTCAGACGGCACATTCTTAGCCAGTGGAGATCGTATCCAATGCTGCAAATACAGGCTAGCATAGTTTCTCCATCGCGCAACTGACGCACCATACGTGCTCTACAGCATCAACTCGCTCGTCGTACAAGCAAAAGAGTCGGAGTCGTTGGAGTAGTCGGAGCGTACATAGACGAGCATTGCTCTGCCCGTACAAATCAGTAATCAAGCGAAACCATCGCCGCGCGACGGCGGCGCAGACAGCACAGCATCGCATCTATTTATAGGCGGAACGTTCTCCGGTCTCACCACTTGACCAGACGGTTTCCAGTGCACCCACCCACCGACCAACAAACAAACCGACAGACCCACAGACCGACAGACAAACCGACCGACAGACCGACAGACCGACAGACCGACAGACCCATTGCGGTTCGAGCTCATTTGAAATTCCGAGACTGGTCGTGTGTGTGTGTGTAGCTGCTGTATGGACGCGGCCGAGTTCCTCAGTATTGCGCACGAGACGCTGAGCCGCACAGTGTTACGCGTGCGCGATGGCGAGCAGCTCGTCCCTTCGTCAAGAAGCCCCTTGAGCACTGACGCAGTCGTAGCAGTTGTGCTGCTGTTCTCCGTGACGCTGTTGCCCGTAGTACTGCGCGTGCGGGTTCTCTACACGTTTTGCTGGGCGATCTTCACGGTGTTGGCCCACGTGATTGAGTCAAAGGCAGCGCTGGGCCTCGCCACGTCGCTGGGCCTCACGGTCATGATGGGGTGGTACTCGCTGCGCGTGTTCGATCGCACGACGTTCATGGGCATCTTGCAGGGCTGGTTCGGCAGCATGAGCAAGTACGGGTCGTTCCAGCTGCTGGCCAACGCGATCGACCTGGTGCTGCACATGGGCGTACCGCTCGCACTCGTGTGCTGCTACCTGCCGCTCGTGCAGATCTGGATGACGGGACCTATTCTGCTGTAAGTGCGGGACTGCTGCTACTGCTGTCTGCCTCGTGTCTGGTGGTGTAGGAGGGGACGCTAAGGCTCGAGTGCTGACATGCGAGTGTGTGTGTGTCTTGCATGTGGTATGCACTTGTCCATTAGCTTCTCTCGACTGTGGATCAAGGTCGTTGCTGGCGGCGACCTCTCGCTCTCGGGCAACGACATTTACCACATTGATCCGCCGCGCCCGAGAACCTTCTGGCAAACGGCGCACGCGATCGAGTTGAGCTACAACCTCATTATCCCGACAGTCTGCGTACTCGCGTGTGAAGCAGGTATGCACGACTTTGTGGTCGCGTGCGTGCTTGACCCGACCATGTAACAACGACCTGTCGTCGAGCGGACGGTGATTCGTTGATAGCATATAGACAGAGACACGAAACAAGCCCACGGTCGCCTCGCGGCTCAGAGAAAAGGACACAAAGGGCTGCGTCATAGGAGGGAGGGAGGGAGGGAGAGAGGGAGAGGGGCCATGTTCCCTCTGCGGCACTTGTTGGACCAGCGAAGACGCCAGCGGAACTAACTACAGACTATCCACACACACACACACACACAGACCCGCACATCGCGTGATAGCAGCTTCAATACAAGACCCCCTCTCCACCGCCAGCAGCAGCAGCAGCAGCTTGTGTCTGTCTCGACCGATGATGACAGCCGACGTCACTTTTTGTTTTTCGTGCAAGAGCTCTCGAGATGGATACACTTTTGGACGGGCACAGCCACGACGCCGTCCAGCCACCCGACCACGTGGATGCAGCTGTGGCCGTCGCGCTCTTGTTTGGCGTCGTCGTGCTGCCGCCGCTCGTGGGCGTCCGCACCATGTACACCAACTGCTGGTTCGTGTTCACGGCCGTCGCGCACGTGGTCGCGTCCGAGTCGGCGCTCGGCATTGCCACGTCCATGGGCATCACCATTATGGTGGGCTGGTACTCGCTCCGCGTGTTCGACCGCTACGCCTTCACGGCCGTTCTCAACGGCTGGCTCGGGGTCTGGACCAGCTCGCCCGTGCTCGGCGTCGCAGCGCGTGTCGTGGACTTTGTGCTCCATCTGCTGGTGCCCATGCTGCTGGTGTCGTGCTACCTGCCACTCGTTCGCGTGTGGATGAGCGTGCCTGCGCTAATGTACGACCAGACGTGACGGTCGTTTCGTCAATGGGGCATAGTGAGTGCCACGCTCGTGCTGACTCTTGTGGCTATGTGTGTGCAGATCGTCGCGACTGTGGAGCCACTTTGTTGTTGGAGGTGGCGTCTTCCCGAAAGCTGATCACATCTACCGGTTCTCCCCGCCGCGGTCACAGCACTTTTGGAACGCGGCTTACAAGATGGAGCTCATGCTAAACCTGCTCGTCCCTCTCTTCTGCGTGCTGGCGCATCAGGTAGTCTCTGATTGAAAGGACTATGCATATCCGTGTGTTGTTAAGCCGAGTCTAATATCATCGCTGGCTGCTGCTGCTGCTGTTGTTGTTGTCGTTTGTTTTTGGTATGGCCACTCGCGTGTGCCAGCGGTCTTTCTGGGTGTACGTGGCGACGGCCATTGCAGGGGCGATCTTGTTCTGTCTGCAGCTGATCCGGTCGCTGTCGTTACCAAAGCTGCGGAAGAACGCTAAGACGATCATGTGTCGTCTGCTGTCCAGTGGCGGCATCCGACCGAACGTGGTACGTGTCAAACGACGTCGCTGTGCATTGAGAGTCTCGAGCGTGTCGTAATATCTGCGCTGTCGTTCATGTTGCCATATCTCCAGGACTTTGTCGTCCGCAACGACTCGTTCTGGCTGGACTGGATGAGCGAGGGGCTCGTAGCTATTGGTGAATCCTACGTCGGTTGTCTGTGGGCGACCAGCGCTGCCTGCACGCTGGACGACATGGTTGCGAGTCTTCTGACCATCCCTATGGAGGGCAGACAGGAGATGTATCGGTCCTGGAGTGCTCGTTTCGTCGCACTTGCAGCGCGCTTGTTCAACTACCCACCTTCGTCCATGGGTCTTGTCGTTGGTGCTGTGTCGGAGCAATTCGACCTCTGCCCAGAGTTCCGGCAAGCTTACATGGACCGATACTTGCACCAAGGCTTCGGGATGTGGACGCCCGGAACAGCCACGATTCACGTCGCTCAATCGAACAAGCTTGCAAACTTGGACCAGCTGCTGGATATCCGGGTACGCATTCGATCGAAGCGCGCTGTCCATGCAACGGGGTGTAGGCGCCATCTCACATCATGCTCTGTATCGTGCTTGCTTCAGGCTGGTCACACCGTCTTGGATGTCAGTATCGGATCATGGGGCGGAGTGGGCTGCTACCTCGCTCAACAGCACGCCGATGCTACTGTCGTATGCGTGCTGTCGACGATCCAGGAACTCGCGCGCGCGAAGAAATTCGCCCGCGAGCTGGACGTCTTCAGTCGAATGGAGTTCGTGCTCACTGAGACACCCGACAAGCTCTTGGCGCTGTTGGACGGATATCGTGCGTCCAAGTTCGATCGCATCACACTGTGCGGCGTGATAGAAACGATACCGGACACGCAGCGGACGCGATTCCTGCGAGCGCTGAAGCGTGTGCAGACCTCGAACGGCTCGACGCTGCTCGAGCTGAGCGTGTGCACGGCAGCGCACATGACGACCCACGCCTGGACGAACAAGTACGTGCATAGTGCGTTCCCGTGCTACGCCATCACGTTGCCGTGCGTGCGTCGACTGGCTGGGGAGACGGGCTTTACACTGCAAGACACGCTCGGCTACTCGGAGCACTACGAGCGCACGTTCCTCGAGTGGAATCGCCGCTTCCAAGCGCAATGGGGGCACGACGCAGCAACGGACGATCCGACGTCCCCGTTGCAGCCGATGCCGTCGCTCCCAGAGTCGTTCAAGCGCACGTGGGAGTTCTATTTGCTGCACTCTGCTGCTTGTTACCGGTCTCGAGCACTCCAAGTGTTCCAGGTCCGAATGAGCTGACACAATGGTCTCGCTCGAGTCGTTGTGTCCGTTTGTGGGTGACACCCCTCCCGATGTCCAGAGCCGTGACTTCTGAAGCTTGTCCCCGTTGTAGTAGTAGTTATCAAAGTAGTAGTAGTAGTAGTAGTATTGGGAGGAGTAATAATAGCATTAGTAGTTGTATTGGGAGGAGTAATAGTAGTAGTATTGGGAGGAGTAATCGTAGTAGTAGTATTGGGAGGAGTAATCGTACTACTAGTAGTAGTAGTCTGAGCACTAGTAGTAATAGTAGGAGTAGCTTTTCAAATAAACTGATTAATCCCATCCGAGTCGGCGCTGTAGTTGGAATGCTAATGCCTCCTGATCTTGCAGTGGAAGAAAAGCTTATGTATATCAGGTAGGCTGTTCAGCCATTTTGTGGGTCGTAACTATCCTGGGTGAGGGTACGAATACCTCGTATAGTGGCGAAATGTATGTCTTGGATATTTTGCAGCTCATAAATGATCCAGTCGATCGTGGCGCTGCAATCGGATATAATTCTTTCTCAAGTACGGATTTTTGTCTCGACTACATTACAGCCCTCTAATCGCAAGCGACTTTATTTGCACGTCACGCTCATGGCGGCGGTCGACTGGGAGAAGCACGTGGACGAGGCGTCCGGCTCAGCGTTCTACTACAACACACAGACCGGCGAGTCGTCCTGGGACGTCCCACGTGACGCGCAAACAGTGCAGCAGTCGATTGCGAGCGAGAGGAACGAGAGGACGACGACGTGGCGCGCGTTTGTGGACGACGGGTCTGGCGCCACTTATTACTACGACGAAGTGCGTGGCGTGAGTCGTTGGGATAAACCCAAAGGGGATCTTCTGCTGGACAAAAGGGAAGTGGAGAACGAGCGGAACGAGTTGGACACGACGCAGGAGGGATACGGACAGGAAGAAGAGCAGCACCACGAAGAGGAGGAGGAGGAGGAGGAACTTGTAGCGTCAGAAGAGGAGTTACAAGTGGAAAGTAAAGGGACGAGAGAGCAGGAAGAGCAGGAGAAGAAGGAGCAGACGGAGACAGAGATTGGGAAGAAAGAGCAGGAGACAAAGACTGAGAAAGAGGTGAAGGAAACGAAGGAGACTGAAAAGGAGGAGGAAAAGAAGGAAGAAGGAGATAGAGATGGGAGACGGTTGTCACCGGGTGTTGATGCGGCTGGGGGTACAGTTGAGGAAGCAGAACGGGTTGGAGAGGACGGTAGCAGTGCTGCTCACCCGTGGGTGAAGTATGTGGACGCTGCTAGTGACAAGCCGTACTACTTTAACCGTCGCACAGGAAAGACGCAGTGGGAGCAGCCCGAGGGATTTGAGGAGATACCGCAAGCTGCAAGTGTGTCGACGGATTCTCACGTATCTGTTGAGTACCAGGCCCATCTTAACCGGATGCGTACGGAACGTCTAGCCCGAGTGACTCAGCAAGTGCTGGATCCATCAGGTCATCTCAGCAAACTGAACAGTATCTTGAGCAGCATTGATAGCAAGGCTCCTCCTACTGCGGGTTGCATGGACGGAGAGTCTGCAGATGCGCCTCGGACTGCAAAAGCGGAATGGCAACAGCATGTCGACGCGCAGACGCAGCGGTACTACTACCACAATATCGTCACGGGAGTTACACAGTGGAACAAGCCAGATGCACCGATTGTCTCGGGGGTGAGTCTGCACAGCGGCTTGTTTGGTGTTGTGTGGTCTACCATGCACATACGAGCGATTGACTTTTGTATTGTTGTTGGTGCAGTTGGCAAGTTGGATCCCGCCTAAGCTTCCTGATCCAGAGTCGACGGTTGCAGGTCGCAAGACCGTTCCGGGCGTCAATTACGCTGCACGGGCAAAGTTCAATCGGCTTACAGGAAAGTATGAGCAGCTCGGGGGCGACGAATACTGGCAAAATGCAGGTATTGCGGCTGATCGTGCTGGGCGGCAAATGAGCCACTTCTTTGATATGTCCGAGCTAGAGAAAAACCGTGAAGAAGCACAGCGTAGGAAAGAGCAGTTGAAGCGCAAGAACATTGACTGGAAGAAAATATCGGCAGAAAAGAAGGCCAAGAAGCAAAAGCAGAGGAATGAGTGGCTTTTCACTGATTAACAACATCGAAAGTGTGCGCCGATACGGAAAGTTGCGCTTGAAGTAGTGCATTCGTGTTGTGGAATTGGCGTTGTGGTGATCATAGCTTGGTAACGCCATGCATCACGTTTGTGGTCCACTGGTTTGCTAACAAGTGTAAGTCGACGACGGAGCATACGGCATGCGATCAGATTTGGCCCATCCAGTGTACGTATTGCTGCTTCTCGCGGGTTGCGATATCGCATGGTCTGACTCATATCTGCGAATGTTGCGAATCCTAGAATATCGATTGTAAGCCAAAGAGGCTCGTCGGCAGTTCACCTTGCACTTCGCCAATATAAGCGATGCATTGGCGAAGTGCAAGGTAAACTGCCGACCTGGCGCCACGCCTTGGCTACCACGCGGTCCTTCTATGGGCTATGGAAATGCGCTTACGTTTGACACAAAAATGTGCTATGAATGGATTGGATCGCTGTTGGGATGCTGATGGATGGAAGGGCTGTTGGAGTCAGAGGCTTGCGCAGCCTTCGGCCACGACTGATTTCGATACCTCGCCAAAATCGGGTCAGATGACGAGCTTGACGGCAGCAGGATTGTTGGCCTAAGTTCGAATGACGGTCGTACGCTGAGTTTACTGTTGGTACTAGTTGCCGCTGTTCTTCATATTGCAGTGCCGGGCATCCACCATGTGGTGTTGGCCGCGATGTTTTGCCCGTTATGTAGCCGCAAATCGTGTCGAGGCGCAGCACTTTATGGCGTTCTGATTGACGCAGTTCTCGATCCAGCCGGCTGCACTTCATTACACGTGGCGGTTGCTGGGATTATTGCGTCGTCTTTGAAAGTAGTTCCACCGCACCACGCCGGCGCGACGGGCTTTGGCCACGACCAGGCAAACATCCACGGCCGCGTGTTGCAAAAAAGCGTCATGATCACCATGCAGGCTAGGTACGTCTCGCTGGTCACGAGTTGGTCATCAATTTGCAAGCAGTCGAGTCGCAGTGTCTAGTGCAGAAGAGTCCTTGAGTCACGTGCAAACGAGTCGAGCGAAGATTGTGGAGCTGCCTGTGATGTCGGGCTTCGATATGCGTTGAGCATCCTGCAGCTCGCATGTGGCTGCCAGCAGCCAGTTGCGTGTTTCAGGTGAATGAGGCCGCTGCAGTGCGACGTGCTAGACTCGTTGTGTGTGACATGCTCCTGTACGGGTGAATGCGCGACGGTCGATGTCAAGTTTGTGAGAATGAGGAAAGCATTCCGGCACGAAGTTGCGAAGCCGAAAGCTCTGACATGCAATTGCTGACTTGCTGGTGTCATAACAACAAGCCGTGGGACGGTAGATGTGCGTGCATTGACGACATGTCGAGGATGAGGTGCAACAAGTGGGTTGTGCATGCCCTAGGAATCAAGTTGCTGGTGGCTATGCTTGGAGGATTACAACACTGAGGTTCGGACTCTGCACATGAACAGTACGTTCATGCGCTTCATACCAATATTGTGTCGTTCGTCCTGATGCACCTGTCGTTCTGCGATACTGCGAGAAGACCAACTGGAGCCCGTCTGCGGGAGTACAAACAACGTCAGCTATGGTCTGATGTGGTATCCTCACGAATACAGGGTGTACTCGCGGCATGAGGTGGCTGTATCACAGCTCGTCACTACGGTTTTGCGCGACTCAAGAGTTTGGATTCATTGACGCATTCGCAAGTCGAGGACGACAGCCCACGCAAAGTGGCATGTTGTGACGGCAGAAAGCTCTCACGTGCTCTACGAAGACATGTGAGAAAGCTATGGTGTAGCGATCGATCGATCGGGTCTCCGGTTGCAAGCTGCTCGGTCTTTGCAGACGAATGCTAGATCGTTGCACGGAAAAGAGAAGCGTGAAATCTGACGAGGCTCGTGCAAGAAGAGCACGAACCGGCTGCCGTCTTGTTCACAACACGTTCTTACTACTGACAGCCGTGCGATAGTATGTAGCTCGAGCAATCTCGTTGCGAGCATGATCCGGTGCATTCCGAGTTTGTGCGGTGGCTTGAAGTCGTACTTTGACTCGCCTGACCTCAAGCATCAAGTCGCAGAGCAACATGTACCTGCCAAGTGCATCGCTGTGATGTATGCTACGTCCAGCGTGATCGCCGCGTACGTCTAGCATGTTTACAACAAATGTTCGTTGAGACGACAGAGAGGACCAAGAAAGCGTGAAGTTCCGACCTGGAAAGTCCGATGCAAAGCACATACAATCAGGCGGCCTGTGAGTCGTCCACGCGGTGTTGCGACAGTCATGTGGGCTTCCCGAGACTTCAGTGCGTCTAGAATGCGTAAGCTCACATATGCTGCATGAACATCGGGTACGAAGTCGCAGGCACAAGTGGAGTCGCTTCAAGCAAATTTGACACGGAGAACTTGGCCGTTTGCAAGCAAATGTGTTGCGACCACGGCTCCTATGGGGGACTGGCAATGGCAGTTGTGATAATCTTCTGGTTGGCATCAGAGGCTACATTACGAGACTGCGAGTTTCACAAGCGAGAACGTGGACGATCGTGAACCTTCGTTACGTCGGAGTTGACTGCACCCATCGAAGCGCAGCCATCTTAGCATCTATGAGCATGTCTTATTGCCAGCACTGCTCACGTATCGATTGTCCCATCGCTGAGTAGCAATCTAGCGGCGCGTAGCCGATTAGCTTGACTCCTACTTTCCCGGCAACGATAAATATGCATTCCGGATTGCTGGCGTCACTCGCGCACCGGTGATCGCGGCCGTGCGATAAGTGATGAGCAATACAATCGGCAACGATGAGTCGGTGGACGTATCAGCAACCTGTCTCCGTGGTCACGTTTCAACGCCGCGAGTTTGGTTGGTTCGACGATAGTCCGCCGCCCATGCCGTAATTGCAGATCTGGCATTCCTGAGTTCGCCAGTGGTACGCCCCGTTGACGACGTCAAAACCCACAGCAAACTCAGCACAGTAGCGGTTGTACAGAGCTTCCCACTCGCCAAACGTGACGATTTCGTACTGACGAGTAGGGGCCGTGCCAAGACTGTGCAGCAAACAAAAGCATCGCGTCCGTGAGTACCAGATCTGATCCTGATCGCATGGCAGCAACAAGCACGAAACTTACATTTGGGTGGCCTTGAGCGACTGTTCCAGCGAGAATCCCGACAAGAAGAGAGAAATGTAGGGCGGCACAATCGTCCTCTGATGCGACAGACACACCAACTCGGCGTTCAGCACTGGACCGGGGCTTCCTTCGCCTTGACTGCGCACGAACTTTCGCCACTTGGTCAGCCACTTTTTCGGCACCAAAAAGTACGTGGCATATTTGCTTCGTCCGGTCACTGACAAGTGCGGCGCCAGCTGCTGGTGTCTGCTTCCCGCCACGTCCACTGGCGAGAACAGGCCCTTTGGGTACCCACTCTTTCGCTGCAGCAACTCAAACATGTCTTCAGAGCCAGCAATTTCCGCGTCAAACCTCATCTGTTTCTTCTCCTCGATCTCCAGCTCCCGCGTCTCGTGCTCGAGCACACAGACCGAACAGTCCCGGCACGACTCGAGGGAAAAGCCCCTCAACTCTGGCGCATAGACTGCAATCTCACTGAACACGTCGCTCGTGAGGATCGCGCGTCGACTGCGTCCCACGCACTGCGTCGCGGGCAGCAGCGCGTTGTGGGCACAGACAATCATCGCTCCTGCCTCGTGGAGCGGCGCGTTGGCTGCGCTCTTGGGCAGCGCCAGCCCCGCCGCGTCTTGTGTCTTCTTTCCTGCGCTTTTCGCCCGCCGTTGCTGCCGTTTCGTGCGTCGGAACTGCTGCAAAAAGTGCTCAAACGCCTGGCAGCGTTTCTTGTAGGCGCCGAGCCACGCGCGACTCACGACGACGCAGCTGGACGAGCCACACACGGCCGCGTCTTCAACCGACGGAGCACACGGACGTGCGAGCAGCTCCTTGATCCGCAGCAGCTCTGCGCCACGAAGCACGACGAGCGAGCGCGGCCAGTGACTCCACGACGGCGACAGAGCGCTCGTAACGTCGGCACAGTGACGCGCGATGGCGCGTTGGACGGCTCGCTGGACGCTCTGGACGGACACCGAGAGACTGTGGCAGGTGGACGTGACGTGGAGGACGTCGCGGGCCGCGAGGAGCGAGAACACGTGGGCCAAGAGACTGTCGGGGAGGGCGTCCATGGTGGAATGCGTGACGGCCGCGGCGGTGGTGGGTGGGTGGGTGGGTCGGTAGGTTCGGGGTGCGAGATGCGAACTTAGTGGGAGGATAGGAGGAAACGTTTATATGGATGCATGGATGCATAGGTAGATCGATATAAATACCAGGGCATGGCCGAGGTGTATTTATAGCACACAAGAGCGAAGCCGAGGTCGGGCGGGGGGAACCTACTAGTAAAAAGGGGGACGACGCGCATAGTCACGGGCAGTAGACGACCGAACGAACGCAATGACTCAGCTTTACGGCAAAGGACCGCTTGAAGATCTTCATGCCTCGATCGTGCTGATCTTCGCTGTCGCGTAGTGTTTGTTGACATGCTAACGCTATTTGCAGTCCCAATCGGTCTCCGGCCATCGTCTGCCGTGCACGACGTATTGTGGACAAGACGTCATGATTCGTGTTTACACTGTTGATTCAACACGGCGTCTCCGGCGTCATGTTGCTTGTCAATGTGCAACAAACGGCGTGTCGATGACCAGCAAAGCGTGACAAGCTTGTGCAATACCGATGCACCAGGGCCATCCTGACCCGCATCATAAAGCTGAGCTACGCGTGTCTTACTTTGCAATCAGCCCACAGTCCCGATTTTATTTGCAGGATCGGGATCGTCGCTTCGATTGCACTTGTGCCAAGCATCGAGCGTGTCGAGAGCATAACGCTCTTCTACTGCATGATACGTCCGAGGCGTCAAGGTTTTGTGAAGTGGGAGTACGCGCTAATGACTTCGCTAGCACTGTTTGAAGCTCTGGGTAAAGCTGCAGTTGTCGAATACGCAAGTACACGCTGGACTCAAAAGGCTACATAAAGCAGACTACCACTGTCTCGTAAGTACCGGACACGCTGTCGCATGCTTTCTGTAGACAGACGAGGAACATCCGGTCGAACAATGGGCACACGTGCAAGCGTAATACACCGCACAGCAAACTATAGGCTGAGGCAGAGCGTCACAACAGAGAGCCATTTTGTTGTCGTTGCAGTTACGGCTTGATCTTTGGATACATTTATGTGCAGCACAAGACACTTGCGAACCATCCGCCTACAAGAACCAACTTTGTTGTCGGGCAGTACATGAATGCATATCGCTTGTTTCTCGACCCTTCAACAGTGGTCAGCCTGCACTCGCAACGTTTTTATTTAGGCTAGTATAACCACGAAGCGGTAAAAGTACGGTCTTGGCCCGTTCTTTTAGGAGGCTATGCAGATGAGCGTTGATCTGAACCAAGCATTCTCGCAGACTGTGTCTTCCCTTAGAACTTACGGCGCTCAGTTTGTGATCGCACTCCAACATGCAGTATTCTCCACGCCCTACGATGGATAAGCATCTTCGATACAAGGCGTCGAATGCAAAGATTCACTTTGAGTAGACGTTCATGATCCTTTTCGCACTACCTTGACCATCTACAGTCACATCGAGATCGCCACACGAAAGCTTATATGCGTGGTCACCACTGCAACGGGTAACCCTTCCATGGGTTCATGATGTAACGGGGCAGCCCGTTACATGGAAGTGGCACTTTAAAGAAAGTGACAATAAAGAATATGAAGTTGAATATTCTTTGAACAATATCACCGATAGTGGTGATATTGGTGAGGCGACCAAAGGGTCTGCTCATTGGTTGATATCGTGATGATATCAACCCACCAATCGCTGTAGGACGCGCGCAATGAGTGGTGACGAGACGTCACCATACACTCAGTTATATTAACATAATTAAGTCAGGTTAAACAGAGAGACAGTAACAAAAAGACTTAATTATATTGATACAACAGTTTTACTTTTCCCTTATCTACGCTTCCTCGCTTGCCTCGTGTACGTCTGTCGGGGCACCCAAACCCTTGCGTTAAGTTCACGCAAGGGTGTGCCCCGTTACACCTGGTAGCACTTTGTAGTCCTTCCAAGGACCACAGCATCCAACATGAACATGTTGGATGATGAAGAAACCTTTCACGCCACGCGTGAAGGGTTTAACCATTTGAGTGACATCGAATGGAGTGCGGTAGAACGAATGAGTTCTACCGTAGGCGAGTTCGCCATTGGCGCCATGTTGGAGTCTTTAGACAGAGACCAACAACATGCCGCTATGGCCAAGTTCATCCAAAGTGAACTTGTCGCCGAAAGGGAAAAGTAGTCTTGCTTCACCAGCAAGGCTCTCATCAGGCCGAGCAGTTGAGAGAACTCGGTGCTCAACAGACAGATCTGTTGAGACAGCAGCAATTCCATGCTGCTGTGGGCGGGACGGCACATGCTCGTCGTCCCGAAGTCATGAAAGTTGACATCTCCAAGTACAGTGGAGTCCCGGAGGACTCCCTGTTACTGTGGTTTGTCGAACTCGACAGAGCCTTAAGGGCTCGTCGCGTCGAAGATGAGCAAATTAAACTCATGTTTGCTCAAACCCACTTGGCAGGACGTGCCAAAACTTGGTCCCTGGGGCTCGAGAGTAGCGACCCACATGTGTTTAGGTCGCTAGATAACTTCAAGGCCCGGCTCAGACAAACGTTTGAGCCTCCACGCGCTGAGTTCAGGGCTCGTTCTGAGCTCCTGAAACTCAATCAGGGTAAGCGTGATGTGCACGCTTACGCTCAACATATACGACTCCTCGCGAGTAGTATGACTGCTAACCCAGTCCATGAACACACGTTGATTACGGTGTTCATGCAAGGGCTCGCAGAAGGGCCCGTCAGGAGCCACCTGTTCCGCCTCGAGCTGAATACGCTGGAATATGCGATATCAGCCGCGGAACAGGAAGACTTTAGCATGAGACAGGCTCATGCTAGCTTAAACTCTTATCGTCCACCTAGACGACAAGAGATCGGAGGTCCGGAACCAATGGACCTCTGCTATGTTGAGAGCGAGAGACCTCGCTCTACAAACAACAAGCGATTGCTGAAGTGCAATCGCTTTCAGAAGTTAGGGCATTTCGCACACGAGTGTAGTGCTCCACGCCCAGTACCAAGCAGTACCGAGCGAAATGGACGACCATTCTCCAAGAAGGGCAATGGGCGTGGGTCCAGCGCTGTTGAGAAGCCGCAACAGCGAAACGGACCATCAAAAAATGGTCGGGGTCAGTAGGGGCGGAGCGCCCTACTGATCCAGCAACCTCAAGAGAATTTTCAAATCTCTTGACGAAAGCTGCTCCAGATACACAATCATTGTGTGTCTCTGCACCTGGTGATGACGTTTCGCTCATCACCTTGAAGTTGGAAGCGACAAATGATTTGTCGCTTCGTGCCCTAGTAGACTGCGGGGCGTCGAACAACTTTGGTCGTCGCCAGTCACTAGAGGGTCGTAGGCTCAAGTTCGTTGAGCGCGACATTCCCCTCACGAGGATGACGGTGCGCCTTGCAACAGGCGAATCGATAACCGTTGAGAAACGTGTAGTAGGAATCCACTACACGTTATACGGCGAACAGTACGATGATGACTTCATCGTACTGGATCTGGATGACAAATTTGATGTCATCCTGGGATTACCTTGGCTCAGAAAGTACGAGCCAAGAGTGAGCTGGCAGCATCGATCCGTGAAGATGCCTGCCGCTTGTTCATCAGATGTCCATCGATGAACATCTTGGAGCGTCCACAAGCGTGTGGATGTTCTGCGGTTGAGTACGATGGCCTCGCTTGCGGTACGGTCGTTAGCACGACTGCACAAGGTCACAGTGTAGTTGATCACTACACTGTGGAGCAAGCTCCCGGCGGCTGTACAGAAGTACAGGATGCGCCGAAGGTCCACCACTCGAATAAGTCGAGTGGACTGGGACGTAGATGTATGCCTAGCGGGCAGCATCTTAGAAGTAAGAAACCTGTTGCCTCAAAAGGGCAACATGGACATCCTAGGTCGACTGGAGAGTCGAACGTAGAGGATCGGTCCCTGACTGTGGTTGCACAGCCACAGTCAGAAGACGTCGAGGGAATAAGTCCCCCACGTACTTGAGGAAGGAATTCCTCAAGAGTCACTTGCTGAAGGATTAGGCCTTCAGCAACCTGTGGAACGAAGTTCCCAGGAAGTAACCGAGACGTTGAACGTCTTGGTTAATGACGGATCAAGCGTAGGCGCTTATACGCTTGATCTGATTGTGCCTCCGAATTCAACTTCGGAGATAACTCAGCTGCCAACGCTAGAACCGAAACGGTTCTTGCGTGATCTGCGTAGTGGCAAAGTCAAGCAGATCTGCATACTCGTCACAGAGGACGAGTATGTGGCCGATATTCGGTCGGCGACAGTATTTGCTGAGAACGAACGGGTTCTCAGCAGCTCATCGATGGACGAAAGTGTCCTCGATGAGAAGACTCGGATTGGGCGATACACGTCTCAATCCTGGGAGTCACTTCAGGCAAATCCTTTTTATAAGGATTTGATCAAATTCAAGGATGTATTCACTGAATCCGTACCTTGCGAGTTGCCTAAGGAAAAAGGCACTCGACACGAGATCGAGCTCAAACCGGGCTCGAAGTACTGTGTCATGAAGCAGTGGCCACTGCCTCGTGAACAAGTAATAGCGATCGACAAGTTCTTTGTCGATCGCTTAGCAGCGGGCCATGTGAGGGAATCAACATCCCCTCACAGCTCTCCGACCTTCTGTGTGCGAAAGACCACAGGAGGATGGCGGATAGTGCACGCGTTCAACAAGTTGAATGCTGCAACGGTACCGGCTCAGACGCCGATACCGAGGAAGGACGTAATCATAAATGGTATGTCAAAGAGTACCATCTTTTCATCCATGGATCTGATGGATGGATTCTATCAGATCCTCATGCGTGAACGGGACATCCCGTACACGGCAGTGAGCACCCCCAGCGGTATGCTGTGGGAGTGGCTAGTGATGCCACAGGGGATGAGCAATGCCCCTGCAACTTTCAACAGATGTGTCACAAATCTGTTGAGACCGGTGCGAGACTTCGCACCGAGTTACTTCGACGATGTGTTCGTCCATAGCCGGGCTATGGACGGAAAGACGGACGTTG